TCGACTTTCCCACTATAAACGCTTCCCGCACAGGTTACTTTGTGCAACTCTCCTTAACTTCTCTATTTCCAAAGCTCGATGGTGATGGGGAAGGAGCGAATGTACCAGGTGAAGGTGACAACTGGGAGTTGTAAGTTCCAACCCTGGACACAGGCGGACTGTCGACGATAGTCGCTCTGACTCCAAGACAACAGAGGTTGGCAGTTTTACTCATCCAGCGGTCGAAAACAAAAGAAAAAGGCAAATATCATGTTTGGAGTATGGACCGTCCGAACACTTATTGAAAGAAATACCTACACAAGACCTTAGAGAAAAACAATCCTCATAGCAAGAGAACTGGCACGGTACAGCATAGACGTCGCTGCGCTCAGTGAAACTAGACTTGCAGAGGAAGGATCTTAACACAAGGGCGGCCATACTTGCCTATTCTGGAGAGACAAGGCCCAAGACGGATACAGAATCCACGGGGTGGGACTAGACATGAAGACAACACTTCTTAGCCAGCTTACAATATCTCCCCACCTCCATCAACGACCGGCTGGTAATATTCCGTTTTCCCCTCAACCCCTCTCGTCATGTATTACAGTCATCAGCGTCTACGCCCACAGGCTAGCCAGCAGCGATGAAGTGAGGGAAACCTTCTACGAGGATCTCGATCACCTTCTGAAGGCCACCCGTCCGGAGACAAACTCATCCTGCTGAGCGACTTTAATGCCAGAGTCGGCACTGGCAACAGAAATTGGAAAGGCGTGCTGGGCCAAAGTGGAATGAGAAAAAAATAGCTCGTCAGGCCGTCATTCAACACAGGCAAGCTGGCACATCCTGATCTGCGCGACCGCTTCGCGACCAGTCTGGACGACAAGGTGACCTCCAATGGACCTCTGGCTGGAAGCACAACACATCATTGGGACAGTTCAGAACGACGAAAAAGGTGACAGCTCAATCGACACCCGAATACATGCGGAAAGCATTCACGGCGAAGCAGAACAACATGTCCTCCACCTCCAAAAGGGACCGCTTCAAGCAGCTCCAGAGGCAGACTCAATGTGACCTCCGCTGTATGCAGGATGAGTGGCGTGAGAAAAAGACAGACAAAGTCCAATGCTACGCTGACACCAACAACTCTAATATGTTCTTCAGCTTCATTAGGGCAGTGTATGGACCGTCCTAACCAAGCACCACCCCCCTCCTGTCAGCGAACGGCACAATGCTGAAGTAGAAGAGCGTCATTAACGATTAAAAACACTTCAGCACCCTTCTCAACAGTCCATCCATTGTCAGTGCAGATGCCCTGGACCAGATACCCAAGAGATCCACAATCGACAGCCTCAACTTCCCTCCCACCCTGCAAGAGGTCAAAAAGCCATCAGCAAAACCAGCTCGGCAAAAGCTTCTAGGATGGATGGGATTCCCGCAGAAATCTTGCAAGGCAGTGGGGCCAGTTGCACTTGAAACCTTACACAGCATTCTCACCGGCATCTGGGAGGAAGTAGACACGCCACATGATTTAGGGACACCACTATTGTCTCCCTCTTTAAGAACAAAGGCAGCAAATCCAACGCATCATCCTCAATCGCCTGGAGAACCTGTCAGAGGCACAGTGTGGCTGCCAGCTAGGCCGCAGTACTGTTGACATGATTTTCGCAGTTCGTCAGGTGCTACAAAAATGTCAAGGACAAAATCTTCAGTCTTCACCAACCTTACCAAGTCTTTTAATATTATCAATAAATCGGCCTTGTGGACATTCTTGGGGAAATGTGGCTGTCCCATGAAATTTGTGAGCTTGATCCGCCTATTTCACGACATAATGACTGGCCTAGTACTTTCTGGCGAAAAGGTGTCTGAGACATTCGAAGTCTCTAACGGCGTGAGGCAAGGCTGCGCTCTGGCCCCTGTGCTCTTCAATCTCTTTTTCACCTGTGTCCTCAGCCACGCTGTCCGAGACATCGAAGACGGTGTATACCTTAGGTACAGACTGGACGGTTCGCTCTTCAACCTTCAACCATCTTTGCCGACGACTAGACTGTGCCCTCATGTCACAAAACGAGCAGGCTTTTCAGCTGATCTTTGATAAATTCGCTAAGGCATCCCGCCTTTTTGGCCTATCAGCCTGGGCAAAACAAAGGTCCTGCTCCAGTCCACCCTGATATCTGCGGCTCCCCGCCCCTCTGGAGACATTAGAGAGGTTTCGCATGCGACGGATACGCGTACGCGTACGTTTTAGCTATCCGTACGCGTAAACGTTCACAGCTTATTTCGCAATCCCAACATCGACCGTCATTGGTGGCGCTATGACAGTCGAGTAAAATCCAAAATGGCAGCCTCCATCGACGATGTCATGTTCATGGCTTTAGAGGAAAATGACGAAGAAACTGTGTTTTTATTACTCGAATCCGGTGCTAGCACTACGACAGGAAGAGTAACATATGAACCTACCTTACCTAAGTTTTCTTTGGAAGCTTTGACAGATGACCAGTGTCTGGATATGTTTCGTTTTGACCGTGAAAATCTTCATCGGCTCTGTGCAGCATTTGGGATTCCTGATAAAATTATATGCCAGAACCGGACTGTGGCATCAGGTAGGCAGACTCATCCTTTCGGAAATAGTTCCAAATATGGACATCACTCATTTTCCCCTACAGTGACTTATCAGCCTTCAGAAAGCGATAACGGGTCCTAAAAATCAAATTTAGCAGGGACAATTTTGAAGCATTTTGGCCTACTGTACTGAGAAAACAATTATATTTTTTTTTAGACCAGCAAATAAGCAGCATGACCAGTTTCAATCATAGGGTTGTGCACAGGATGTCAGGGTTAAGAACATTTTAGGTCCATTTGGGATTCTCTCAGATTGTGCAACTGAGAAACATCCTAAACATAAAACAGCGTTTTGATGGAGCTATTTTTTGTCCCTGAAATCAGTAAATAGTTTACTAGGACTCACATGTTTCATGCAGTGTAAAGTGTGAGTAACTTGTTCTTCACAAAACTGCAGTGCAGATTATGATTTTGATGAAAAGTCATATTTTACAATTTGTGGTCTTTATATCCAGACAAAAATTAACATTTTAAATAATTAGCGATTTCTTAGTAACAAAAAATGAACCGGAAAATGTAAAAATTTAATCACAATTTGCAATTCAGAAAAAAGGCACGTTTGAAAGTAAACCTCATCTTTTTTATTTTTCCTCCTGTCTTATAGGTATGGATGCGCTGTGCATCTCACTTCGACGATTTGCATACCCTAACAGATTATCTGACCTTGAGAGAGTTTTTTGGACGCCCCAAGTCTACCCTTTCATTCATTGTGAAGGAAACAGTCAATTTGCTCCATGCTCGCTTTAAAAACTTACTCCAGGACATCAACCAGCCTTGGATGCAAGGTGTAATGCTGCAGAGATATGCAGATGCCATTCAACAACATGGAGCTCCCCTCGATAATTGCATAGGATTCATTGATGGGACAGTAAGACCGATGTGCAGACCAACCCACAATCAACGTGTGTGCTACAATGGACACAAAAGAGTCCATTCTCTGAAATATCAGTCCGTCATGCTGCCCAGTGGAATCATTGCAAACATGTATGGGCCTGTGGAAGGCCGCAGACATGATTGCGCCCTCCTGCGAATGAGTGGCCTACTGGATCAGCTTCAAGCCAGGCCCCTGTACAACGTCAACGGCAATCCATTCAGCCTATATGGAGACCCGGCATATCCAATACACAATAATCTCCAGGGTCCATTTAAAGGGGCTCACATCACCGCAATGCAACAGCTGTACAATCAGCGGATGTCTAGTGTGAGAGAGTGTGTAGAGTGGGGATTTGGAAAAATGCTGTCCCTATGGGCTTTTCTTGACTTCAAGAAGAACTTAAAACTACTGTTGCAGCCAATCGCAAAGTACTACATAATAGGAGCTCTGTTCACCAACTGCCATACCTGTTTATACGGCAGTGAGACATCTAATTATTTTGGATTGCAGCCCCCAAGCTTAGAAGAATACTTGATCTAAAGCGTCTCCTCACAGTGGCTGGGTATTGCAATACAATGTACAATTCAATGTGAATTCAGCAAATTCATTGTAATAAAATTGTGGTTGTACTTATGTATAATTTCATCAACTGATTTAAAGGGTTAAGTTATAAGGCCTAAAAAAATAGTTGGTCTCTGGTCAGACCAAATGTCCGAAATTGATGCGGCGACGCGGTTTTTTGTTGTTTTGTTGGTTTTTTTTTTCATTTTTTCAAACTTGGATTGTATAGACAAGGTGGGTACTATTTTTTGCACTTTTGTGTCCTCATATACATAGGTGTCCTCCATAATTTGCCTTTGTGCCCTCCATCATTTGCCTTGGTGCAATTTCCCCATTCCCTAGTACAAAAATGTGAGGAGGTGCGGCAATAGAGGGTGCTGTTGTAGCTACCACGGACAACTTTAAGAGAAAAAAAAGGTTGACGCGCATGATTAAAATCGATGCGCGCGATGACCAGAGAACGACTATTTTTTTTTTTGGCCTTTGATCTGTTTATTAAAACCACTGACAAATTGCTTCAGAATAGAAAGGTGCTTAAAGTTGCCCCCCCCCCCCCTGTCTCCCCCTCTCCCCTCCCCCGAGGTTCTCAACATTTTTTTTTCCCATGAATTGACCTTGGTGATATGTGGCCTTTTTTTTAGTAGTATAAAATGGGTGCAAGTGCCACTGTTACCTGCCAATGCTACCCCCTCCCATTTTGTTTTAGTGATTAACACAGATACTGTCAAAGTGGAACTTATCCTCAATTTTGTCTGAAATTTCCCCTTGTCCCTCACTTTAATAACAAAAAGTTACCTGATCAGTACGATTATGTTAACACTTGGCAAACTCATACAATTGACTCGTCAATAAAAATGCTAAATGCCAGAAATACATTGTAACAGTCATTATTTATTTAATGGATTTTACTTTTATTTGTTCTGAATTATACTTCACACTAAAGAAAATTAAAGTCAGAGCAATTTCCATAAGTAAACCACTGCCCTTTCATTGAACATTACTATGCATTGAGCATTTACTATGAACCATCCTTTAGATTACAATTTAGATTGCAAAACTGTTTCAACAACAAAACTGTTTCAACAACAAAACTGTTTCAACATTTTTTTAGGTCTCAACTCTCAATGTGATGTGATAAAACTGGACGAACTGTCGTGTTGATTGGGTAACAACCAAGAGAAAGAAGGAAGTCATTTGATTTAATCTTCCTTCTTTGTTAGTTTCAGCAAAAGGTGCAACACTTGTGAATCATATGCCAACTTGGCTTGTCGCTCTTTCTTCTCCAGTACAAAACGTTCTTTGTCTAGCTCAAGCTGCTGCTGTTTGAGAGCAAATTCCTTCTCTGTCTTCTCCTTTAAGTACTGGATGTAGTCGGAGCTTTCAACTTTCTTGCGTTTCTTGAGTGGAGAGGGGGTCTGCATCCTGGCTTCATCTGAAGAAGGAGAGTGGAAGTCACTTTTTAAAATATGCAGAATATGATGCAAAAGTAGTCATCACTGGGAGGGGATGGATTGGGGTTGGGGGAGGGGAGAGCCTTGTGCCTTTTCACTAAGGAAGGGATGGATCCACTAGTGATGGTACATGTAGATGACACAGAAATACATGCAGAGTTGGGGGGGGGGGCAATTCAGCGGTGGCATAGCAAAAGGGAGTACACATGTATTTCCTGAAATTGGTCCTGTGCTTACCATTCAATCCTTCAGCCTGCTCAGTGAGACTTTGAAGGGCTTTTTGCCGGACAGTCTCTCCCTGCTCCAGCTTTTTCTTCTCTACCTTCGCTGCATCTTCTTTCATCTTATCCATCTCAGATTCCAGCTCCACAATTTCGCCCAGTAGCCGCTCTCGTTCTCCATACTCCTCATCAGTTCCTGAGCTAAAGTGTCCAGGAGGGAGATATGTATATAAAGAATCCTCTATTTGCATTTTGGGCATGGCTGAACAAAAAATGTGCCCCGTGAACAAGATCGTGCATATTTTGGATAAAGGTACTCATCGTCAAATTAGATTGCGATTCATTGTCCAGCAAAATTTGGGAAATTTTGGCAGCAGTAGTTCTACAGTATAATGTATGATGCTGTGATATGTATAACAAATTAGCATTAGATCCACAAAAATTTAGATTTTTAGCCATTCACAACTGCTGGTTACCTCCCCCCCCCCCCCCAAGCCAACCGCATTTTTTTTTTTACTTTATGCCACTGTTTTTTTTTTCTTCAGGAGAAAACAGACAGTTGAACAAGACACAAGTTGACCAGCTCCCGCATCCATTAGCCTAGGAATAAACTTGGGAGTCAATAGAAAAAGATGTTTCTTATAGCTGCATTTTACTGAAGATTCATTTGATAAAAGGTAATAACTTCAACTACCTGAATAAGAAAGTTAAAAGCTGGTACTCACGCTCTTAGTGATGCCAGTTCATCTGCTTTGAAGGCAGACAGAAGCTTTCTGAAGCGGTCTTTGCAACCCCTCATGGTGACTTGGCCATCCGGTCTCATCAGTCTTACAGCCTCATTCAGTTTTTGGGTCAACGTTTCCCATTTTTTGGTGTCACCAATTGGCCAATCAGCTAGCACTTGCTTTAAGACGAGTATGTCCAAAGCAGGGTAAAACCTTGTAGAGGATTTTTTTGCGCTTGAAGTTGAAGCCATCCTGAAAGATAATTATAACAACACTATATGAAAAACTTTGACCAGATAACTGACAGAAAAGCATATACATGTATAAGCTGGTTTTAAAAAACGCACATGCTCTAATCTGCCACTTGCCGACATGCTAGACCTGTGAACTGGGCTATATTTATATACATACATGACTAGTCACGGTTTGTTTATATGAACTGGACATTCAAAGTGTTTGAAATCCTGGTTGCAGACCCTCCACTTCAATTTCAAAATTACACAAGCACTCTATTTTCAGCATATTCCGTAGGCCTAGCCTAGGCTAAGTTTATCCAAGAACTTCTACTTATAACTTAGTGGCAGTGGCATAGGATCTGTCATTTGTAAGGAAAATCGACAGACGTACGTCTACTGCAGAACTAGAAGGTTTTTGAAAGTCCAGCCTATGAACAGAACGTGGCTAACCACATTCACAGGTCTATACAGCTAAAACGACAGCTAGCACACTTGGGTCAGGTTTGTACTTTTGTAGCTAAGTGAAGTCTATTTCCGACAGCGGAGAACCACTCTGCACCCACTTTTGGTACCTGATTTTGTGGCTAATCTTGTCGTATTCCAAAGTTTTGAAATACAAAGAAATGACATGTACATGTTCAGCAATTAATCTGTTTTAAAATCTAATCATGCATATGGCAATAAACTAACAGGGAATTATTAGAAATGTGAAATTTCAATACGCGTTTAATACTTACGTGTAGAGAGCGAGATATCCGTGCCTTGTATACGGATAGCGGATAGCAAGACACTGTGACGTCATCAAAACCACAAAACTGGTGACGTATCCGGCGCGCTAACCGTATCCGTTCGCATGCGAAACCTCCCTATTGTTTATACCGCAACGGATAATACGCAGAATGAAAATTCAATCAAGCCGAACTTTATAAAAAGATGTATTTTGAGTACAACTTCAGGTGTGTGCATGAACAATTTACTGCATTGTGCACAAAACAATGCCAACAGTTGGTTGCGGTTCAAATATTGACGGCTCTGACCATTCCGTATTATTTTGGCCGGGAATCAGGCTCGCAGCAGCACGGCGGCTGTTTAATGATGCACTATGGAAGGTCCGCGAGAAGGTGAAGCAGAGTGGGGATGCATGCATGGACCGTTCATGATGCATCGTAAATCAGCCGTCGACTGGCGCACGCGCTTTTGTTGGTAACCGCAAACCACCGTTTGATGATTGGTTTAAATTACTTGATTAATATAACCTGAATAAATGAATAAGTCATTAGTTCCACGAGATAGAAGAGGCCCTTGCGGCCTCGCCGCTTTTGCTAGGCTGCTTACGTGCCAGCATCCGGGATGTGTCACATGTCCGGGAAGGAGCGTGGGACTTGACTAAAGCTAGTCTATTTGTGAAAACGATGACGATTTAAGGGTTATGGAAAACGACTCACTTTCTCTCCACTCTCTGGGGGTAACCAGAAGACCCACAGTGAGATGAACGTCATGGCCCCAGATGGCAGGGCCACATTCATCAGGGTGTAATGAGGAAGCCGCTCGGCGGTGAATTTCAAACCTAATAATTGGTAGGTTCGTGAACCAATAACGTATTCAGGCACCACGCCGTACAGTTCGAGGGGGCGCCACTGACTGGTTATCTCAAGACCATACACACTGCTGGCGCCGGCACGAAGGGTAATCATGTCCTTCGGCATATTCTGGGATGAGAAGGTCAGCCAGCAGGTCTGTCGATCGAATGGAAACTCCGACAGTTGCATCGCGCAATGTGTCTTGTGGATGACCTGACCTGCAAGAAAAGATAAAAGCGTCGGTAACTAAGGTTAGGGGTTTAGCATCCCTTGTTTCGTTTTGTCAGTAAGATCGTGTCTATTAGCATATCGTCACGTCACCGACACTAATAAGTAATACTCAAAAGACCAGTTTCCTTACCAATTCAAATTCATGCATGCATGCGCAAAAAAAAATGGTCCGGAAGGCAAAAAGAGAAATCGGCCCATTAAAAATGTACAGGGGTCTGGATCAGCTTAGGTAGACCAGTGTTGATTTCAATGACAGCCCGATCGTCGTAAGGTTCGTTAATAGGCCGAAAGGTCGATAGTCCAAAGGTTCGTTTAATAGTCCTAGGAGTTGCTAGTCCGAAGGGACGTTTATAGTCCGAAGGGTCATTAGTCCGAAAGTTTGATAGTTCGAAGGTTCGACAGTCTAAAAATATATAACAAGGTTAAACAACCTCAAAGTTAGAAAGTCCAAGTAGACGATTATGTTACCTAGTCGGAACGAGAATTAGGTACGATAGTCCGAATTGATAGCATTGAACATAATTGCATATTCAAACTATCAGCCTTTTGCATTTTCGGAATAACGACAATTCGGTCTTAGTGGTGTGACATAGCTCCAATGTGCTGAATGATTGTGCAATTTTCGATAAAAGCATGAAACTTTGCAAGTTGGTTTTTCATGCCATGAAAAAATAGGCCATTTCATATTCAACCTCTTGAAACCTTACGAGAGATCATCACTTTAGTAAACCCAAAGTCTGTATAGGACAGTAATATAATTTACACAATTGTAAATAACACTTTTTCCTGACCAAATTCTTGACTTTTTTAGATATTGAGAAATCAGATTAAGACGTAGTGATACCCGTTATGTACCGTATTTGTTCGTCAAAACGCCATTTTGTCGTGACCCAAGGCTCAAAAGTGCCACAGAACGGTATTTCACCCATAAGTTTACAGTCGTGTTATGGATTCAGACCATACAGGTCAGGTGACCTCTGACCTCGTTTCTCCATGTTTATTGGCAGTGTAGTATAATGGAATTGAAATAGAAAGAAATCTGTGGGTCTGTTTTGTAATGGAAAATGTACGTATATCAAGCAATATTTACTTTTGTGTACTTACTACACCCTGCTGCTGTATTCAGATAGACTTGGAAAACCACTTTTTTAACCTTTTTACTAAGCCCAATTGTCACTGTAAGAGAGTAATGCTTGTCCAATGTGCCGGTTATATTCGTTCGCGTCTGCGTCTGCCCTTATAGAAAGGGCAATTGAGATTAGAGTTCATGCAAAACAATCTGTGGGGTCTGACTTCTTGACATGTGGTAGAATAATTATTGCAATATATTCACTTAGCTCTAATTAGACTTCGGTCATGAAAAAGTGTCATTTTGAAAGATTAAACATGATACATTACGGCAATCAGAGTATACAAAGTTCATTTACGGCGCAAAAGGTCATCATAGGTCAAATATGAAATGTCTACATGTCTAAAAAAAATCCATAGCAAGGCAAGAATACCAACAAATTAGATGTGGGTAATACAAATCGGTGTTTTGAATAGTTAATCCTCTTATAATCTATACATAGGACACGCAAAGATCACTGACCCGTTGTAGGCCATCAGAGGTCAGATATTCTTTTCATAGCATTAAGCACTTCACATTTTGACTTGTGTCTTCAAAAAGGTGAGCTCTAAAGGGTGAATCGTATAGATGTGGTGCCGTTAAAGATCATTGACCTCTGGAAGGTCATCAGAGGTCCATTGTGGATTGTTTCGCATTTGGTCGTCAGTACAATGTATGAAAACTATGAATAGACTTAGGCCAAAGTACAGTGATGTTTCCCAAAACAAATTGGTATAACTAGAATATTCAAAGATATTACAATCCTCCTAGGTCACCAGGGGTCAGATATAAAATGCCTCCAATTCTGAGATTGTTTGCCATGCCTTTAATCACAAAATGCACAATTCTGTCCCCATGCCGCACCACTATCCATAGAACTTTTTTTCCCTTTGGACTATTGAACCTTTGGACTGTTTAAACCTATTTTAAATTGGCACTACCGAACATTCGGATAAATGAACATTCAGATTATCGAGCCTTGATTATAAGACTTGTAGGAGAAGACGAGAGCGGGAAAAGACCTTTGTGACTGTTACTTCTTGACAAAGTCCATTTGGTCGCAAGCCTGTAGACTTATACTCAGTCCGATGCTTGAAAGTTTATGCATACCTTGTAGTTCGACCGTTCCATCCCACTTCAACAAGGCCAAAAAGACGCTCTCCTTAACAGGGTTTTCAATCCTGTCACCTGCCCTGTGAACAATCCGCAAGATCAAAAACAAATTTTCGATTTATCGTTTCATTTAGACTCAGACGAATGCGAAGCACGCAAAGTTACGTCATGAATACTTTGTTTTAATGAACCTTTTTTGCCGGGCTAGTTTGAACTCACCCGTTACTCAGAAGAATCTTGGGCGTCCATATTTCACTGAGGCCCAGTGATAGATCAGTGATGTTGTCATAATCCATTGGATCCCAGCGAGCTCGGTAGTCGTGCCATGTCTTAAACGAAACCAATAAACTCAAGTTAATATTACTCAGCTTTTTTTTTTTTTTTTTTTTTTTTACAGCGGAAGGATACAGCATGAAGTGATGTCATCGTTGACAACACTTTTACACACATGTTGATATGGTAATTTTGCCTAAACCCTAATGTCAGAGGCGTGTCCAGCGGGGGTGGGGGTCAATTTATTCTGCCACATTTCCTATTATAATCTCGTGATAGGAATAATTCATGACTATTTCCAAATATGGACTGGCATAACTTGTGACCAATCAGATCGCTCTTAACAAAGTCTTACCCAGAACAATCGACCTCATATGTACCAAATAACAAATGACCGCGCCTGATTCGTCCTTAAAAGCGCTCTCTTATTGGTAACAAAGTTGACCTAGAAATAAATGAATATTCATTGAACCTAAATATTCATTGTGCCGGAGGCGTCACAAAGTCAAGGCAGAGACTTCGAATAGCATATCAATTAACGACAAAGATTGGGATTCGATTTGCGAGGGCGTCTTACGACGTAGGACTACCCCGTATAGAACGATAACATTGTTCATCTTACCAATTTCAACCTTGACGCGCCTGTCATAACCTGTGCTTTCTCGTCCTGCAGTATCGATGAAAGAGAAATTTAAGGTGGTATATATCATTTGCAGCTATCAAAAAATAGTAATCGACGAAATTTCCCTTGAAAAACTTACGGAGTTCAAAGATAATAGTGGTACTAAACTGCCTGAAAAGTTATTCTCTCTTCCACGCTGTTATTTTGGAGGAAAAAAATAAGGCCATTTCCAAAGATGCGTCAAGTGATGCATTTGAGAAATTTCCGTTAGTAGTTGGTTTGTGTTTCGGAAAAGTGCGCGCATGCATTGAAGATTGTGTTTCGGCAAAGTGCGCGCATGCATTGAAGACACGACGCACACGAGTGAGTGGTTGATTTAATTCTTTGGTTCTTTGGCTACAACGTGGCGCCCTACAATCATGTAACCGTTCATCACCTACGCGTGCGTGCACTCTCTTTGCATGTTTGAAAGTATATAATTTGAAAGTATATAATTTATTAATTGAGTGACTTCGCAGAGCATGCACTGTCGTAGCCTACTGGTTAGGCGTGCTGGCTCGTGATCGGTGTTTGACTATTTGCTCTGCCTTTTTCAAGTTTGCTTTTTTCTCAACAATCTTAAGTTTTATCTTACAAATGTTATTTTTCAGTCAGATACTAATTGATTAGCAGGAATTTTCTTTTTATTTTCTGATTTCAGGATCTGGATGACCCCAGGTATTTGTGTAAAAGTAATATCGTGTCCCGGACGCTGGATTCGGGTGCAATTCAAAACAGGACTCGCCACTTCTGAAGAAAACCTTCAGGAAACTAACCCACATTCACCGATATCTCCACTAACGGTCGTTTCATCACCCCAGCATCAAGTCATCGGTCAACCGGACCCTAGCACAGAAAGCCTTTGATTTCTGCGACCAAGACAACCACAAGCGTGATCTCAAGCACATCCAGGCGTCACTTCAACGGAACGGTTACAAACCCAACTGCATCAAGATCAGCAAACCTGACCAACGGGTCTCCTCTACGAAAGGTCCTTCCACTGTATCTCCCTCAGTCACTCTTCCATACATAGGTCCAGCTTTTCATCACCTTCAACGTATCTTACGAAAAGCTGGCGTCAAGGTGTACCACTCATCTGGCAACAAGCTCCAAGGCACCTTCCACACTCAGGACTCCTCTTCTAAGCCGGGAGTCTACCGCATTCCATGTGAAATGCGGAACCTTCCTACTAGGCTCAAGGAACACAGAGCACATGGACGGCGAGGGGATTTTGACAAATCGGTCAAACATTCCTACATTAACAACCACAAAATGATTGGGATGCAGCTGAATTCATCTCACCAATCAAGTTCTGTCATCCAAGACGCATACGGGAAGCCATCGAGATCCGCAAGCACAACACAGTTCCGCAGGTCATCGGGTTTCACCTCAACGACATCTGGTCCTCACTCCTCCAGACTGATTGTCTCCTATACCTAGGTCCTCAGCCGTCATCTTAGACTGATGGGTCTCACATACCCTAGATCCTCCCTCTACTGAGACTGCTACCTTACTGTTCCACTTCAGTGGACACACAAAGCTTGCTCTAAGATCCCAGCTACCTGGAATCCACACAGGATGCAACTTCACACTTCATCGATTTCACCTTTGCTACTTAAGTGTTTACTTTCCTGAAGACGGTCAGAGCATACTGACCGGAACGTCAAATTTATACCTCTGGCTCTTTTCAGAACCATTCTCTTGGTTGAGAAATTATTCGCACATGGTGTTTCCGCAAACCTTTATTTATATAGATATTGTCGTCTTGGATTTTACAGCATTAAACAGAGCCAAAACTTCATCGGGTTTACTTGTTAAACACCCGTACTTAGATAGTGCGCACTTCTGTTGCTTCAAACGGAAAACAATTAACAATTTGACATGATTTTTTGCACATAAGCAACTTCAGACGTGGGTGGTTAGCAACACACTCTGAACATGCAGACACACCAACACCATACAGTCGTGCTTTAGTATACTTTCATATACTGTAATTTACTTTGTCCATATGGTATAACACTCTCCAATATACTAGGAACCCAACTTACTACAGAGGACCGCTTCCAACAAAAGACACCCAGCCAGTAAGTCAGCCAGCCACCCACTCAACAGGCAACCAGCCAGCCACCAACCCAACCACCCACCAAGACAGCCAGTCAGCCACCCACCCACCCACCCACCAGCCACCCCGCCACCAAGCCACACAGTCATTTACCCAGCCTGCCATTCAGCCAGCAAGCCAATCAGCAAGCCAACCAGCCAGCCACTCACCCACAAGCCACCAAGCCAACAACCACCCAAAAGACTAGACACCCAGCCCCCCACCCACACAGACACCCAGTCAGTAAGTCAGCCAGCAACCCACCCACCAGACAACCAGCCTGCCTGCCAGCCAGCCACCCACCAGCCAGTCAGCCACCCACCCACCACCTAGAAACCCAACCATTCTACGAAGAGAAAAACAAGGAGACAATATTTTATGATAGCTAGTTTTAGATGCACATACCATTGATATAAGGGCGTACATGTGTAGCTCAAGATCAACAACAACCGACTGGTTGGGCGTAATGGCAGGCCGTACTAGCATATCGTAGATACCGTTGCCTGTCACGATCAGGTGACGAAGACGCGTTTCGGTCAGGTGTGAGGCAGATGCATTGTGGGCAATGCATGACCATGCTGCAAGAGTTGAACAACCAAAAGGATTTAACCAAATTCGATTCTTATAATTGTTGAACTTGTTTTTTTTATATTGCTGGGCTGCAATAGCATGGAGAGTCAATCTGTGTCTGTGAAAGCACATATCGTAATTTGCATTTATCCCAAAAGTAACCAACGTTGGGGTGAAAAAACACGAGATCGTATTTTTCGATCAAAAGGTTGTGCATTGTTTCTCAGTTTCTCAGTTTTCCTCGAAAAGTGCACAATCCACTGAGCTGGAATTTCAATTGGTGAGGTTTTAAACATTCTTAAATATTGAGTGGTTCTTTTAAGTACAAATGATATTATATACCTTTAAGCCGGTTTTGTATTTCATCTGCATGTGCGTATATCGGAGGTTAAACAAATGAACCAATTGTAGCAGAACCTATTTTAAAGCTACATTTCATCACTTGCAACTATACAAAACTGACGTAATTACTGTTGAGAGCATATTCGGTTTGAAGATAGTAATGGGACTAAACTTACTGTGAAATTATTCTTTCTGGCATACCGTCATTTTGAAAACAACAACAACAACAAAAACAACAACGAAAGTGGCACGACGCACACGCGCGCGGCTGCTTTAATTCGTCGGTAGCTGCGTGGCTGCAATTGGCTGAATGAGTACGCTGATTTTGGGCGTAATTCCAAACATTACTTGCCAACTTTTGATTTGAAATCCAGATCCTCGAATGTTTTTTTTCTTGGAATATACAGCATTCATTGAGCAAATAATTCACCAGGTTACTTTTTAAGCACCCTTCTTTAGATTGCAAGCACTTTTGTTGTGTCAAAAGAACATAGCGCACAAATTACAAAGATTGACCGTATCATAAAATCTACGGTTATCTGTATGTAAGTGCCACCAAAAAAAAACCCCACCAAACAAACATTAATTTAAAACACTAAGCCAATCTTAACGAAACCAAACCTGACCATAGAGTCCAGCCAATCTGGTTTTACGATGAGACAGAGAAACAGTCACATTTGTTTAAACTAATCGGTCCCAGAACAATATTGTAGGTTCACAAAATAACGAAACGTTAGAGTTTTCAACTTTGCCAAAAAAACTGCAATGGATTAACAAAGATTAGCAGCTGCAAAATCAGTTGACATACGAAGTCCAAGTGGACCCAGGTTGGCGCGCGCCTGAGGTGGGTATCTTTATATATTTTTCATGATTACGTTCAACAAATTATTGTACTGTTATGTCCAATCACTTTACCCGTAGTCAGCAGAAGAGAAGAGAGGAGCCACCACGGTGCTACCAGTCCGCTCGCCATCACGTCACTCCGCGTCAACCAGCTAAATGATCCGCCCATGGAACGTCGTTGCTAGTTAAAGGGCGGCCTCTTAGTTGGCGCACGGAGGCCTTTGTGTATTATAACCTGTTCCATTTTTTATCTGAGTAGCTACTTTACGTTTTTAGAAAACAGAGAAATGTAAACACATCTCGTAACTGCTTTCCGAAGCGCGGAACGCACGTAAAAAAAAAAAAACGTGCCCATGGTAACATCCTTCAATGTGTGTTTTACCCGATTATCGACAAATGATTTTACAGGGTAATTGACTCAAAAAGCTTTATGTCATTAAATGATCCTACGTGGTTTTAATTGAAGGTAATGGTGGTAATGGGTGCGGTAGACATTTACATAAGCGATTCGTTTAATTGGCGGCGGTAGGTACAGAGCTTAGGCATGTGTTTTCCTAAATGAAAACGTACACACACTACTCCTGGAATCCACTTGTCGCTGTTTATTTTCGTGCTTCTCTTTAAAAAAAAATACTTCAAATCAAAATACAGATTCAACTTAAGCAAAGTGCAAGTAGCTTAGCCACGTTAATGTCCCATTAGCAAAAGTAAACAGACATTGTTCATCATTCCTTACACAAGCAATACGTCTAATGGTGATTTTAGAGTGGTCTGGTATGGTCCAAGAACAGACCTTCCAAGGAATAAGTACTTGTTTGCTAATCATTTGGTGATTTTTCAAAAGCGATGTGGGGGACAGGAAATGTGGCACGATGATACATGTAGTAGCTTGGGTGTTTGAGTGGTGGTGTTGAAATAATTATGTTAAGCCAAGGCAATAAATCGATTTTGAAACTTGCACGAATCTATATCTCGTAGGGTGTGTGGAAGAAGGTTATGGGCACAAAAATGGCCAAGAGATAAATTTTAGATTTCTTGGTTATCAAGAGCTTGGAAATATCTTTTAGTTGATATAGATTTCGTCTCAAGGGGCTGCGTCCTTCTGACGTAATTAACAGGATGAAAAAAGACGGAAGGAGGTTTTTCTTTTGTTTTCGGTAAACAGACATTAGCAAGCAATACTAATGTACACGTATACCAAAAAAAAAAAGACGTAATGGGTACCCAATGCCAACTCGTTTTGTTTTTCCAGCAAAAGAACGGTATGATTTAACAGCCGCTTAAACACACGTACTTTGAGGTGCGGGGGGGGGGGGTAATTTCTCGGTAAAAGGTCGTTAATAGAAAAAAAATGTAATAATTTCAAAATGTAGTAATACTTGGAAATATGAATGCACTATATTACTTTATAACACACCTCTCGCTTGTTCTTTATCCTGGTTGGCTGAAACGCGGTCACACGTGATTCAAAAATATAGGCTGGTGTATGAAACTTGCGTCAGCGTGAACTGGCGGACGCTTGTCGAGACATCACGCGTGCGTAATTTCCAGAGTATAATGCCTGATCAGGCACTATACTCGTTTTTTTTTCACTGGTAACAGCGCCCTCTGACAAAACTCGAACTCAAAAATATAATCCAAGGAAACTAAAAGCGTTCCTGTAATTGTTGAATTGCCGACAGTTGAATCGCTTATTAGTTAATTGTTGAATTACAATAGTTCAATAATAAAACCCTGAAAGTTTTCTTTTCTTATTTTCGATTTTGGACAGAAGTGAGTTATAAAACACATAATTAAGGACTGGCATAATTCGGTCACTAGTGCACGTCTATGCTCACTGAGGGACTGTTAGTAACCAGACGAGGTTCATATTTCCCGAGGCCGAGGGTCGTATTTCCCTATGTGCCCCGAGGGACTGTTAGTGACCAGACGAGGTTCATATTTCCCGAGGCCGATGGCCGTAGGCCGAGGGAAATAAAACCCACTTCTGGTCACTCTCAGACCCTAGGGGGCAGAGATGTGCGCTGGTGACCTTATTGCCAGTCTATATGTGTATATCAGTTATTAACCATCTTCATGAGTCAACATTTCAGCTGTATGTGATTATGCAATTGTATACAAACGTATGTAAGTGTGAACAAGCTCAGTAGGTTTCCCGCCAATTTTGAGCAAGCCACTAGGTCCTGACAAGTTACACCCCTCTGGTGGATGTACCATGGTCCAAACTAGGATCTAGTGATACACTCAACCAAAAAGAAAATCCCCGTAATACTTTTTTTGTCTAACTCAAACACTACTCGGCACATCTTGCTCAAATTACGACTGATCAGTATAGAAATTCCTTAGCAATCCAGCCATACTCTTTGTTTGGCCGAAAACAGTGATAATGTGTACAAATTATGCAACTGATGACAAGTGGTATCGAAAAAAGTTGCACTTTTGTATACGTGCATGGTAAGTGTGAACCACAACATGCACATATACCAAAGTGCAACTGTTTTCGGTATCATTTTTCATTAATGGCATAGATTCGTACACATTATCACCATTTTGGGCCAAATAAAGAGTATGACTGGATTGCTAAGGAGTTTCTGTAATGATTAGTCGTTATTTGAGCGAGAGGTGCTCAGTAGTTTCTGAGTTACACTAAAAAAAATGTATTGGAAGGGGGACTTTATTTTTTGGTTGAGTGTAGATGACATCGGGACTGCCTACCATGTGGCTAGGACAATATTAAACATAGAAATGTGACTTGTCTTTTTTCCGGAAAAGGGTAATGATAAAAGACCAAAATAAAGAAAGGACGCCCTAAACCGCAATTTACAATATGTCGTATATATACGATGATAAAACAAAATACAAACTCTTCGGGTAGTTCAAAACAGGCATCAAAATAAAGGTTTATTTGGGGTTTCTTGTTAATGTTTAGAAAAAAATGTTAGCAAGCCCCGGACTTGTGGGTGATTTTTTTTTTTCTGTAAAAAGGTGATCACCTTTTGTAACAGTTACAAACGAGGAATTGATTCACGTCTGTTCACGACCATTATGTCCGTTTGGTCGATTACGTCAGACAACAGATTTTGACGAGCAGATTTTGACGATTTTGACCGATTATTTCCGACCCATTATGTCCGACGACGATTATGTCAGACCCATTGTGTCCGACATGGGATACGTCGGACCTATGTTGTATTAATATGGTCGATTACGCGGGATTCATTCGGTTTTGTACTGACATTATTAAATTATCTTTGGGTTGTAACTGCAATGTGCGCGTAAAATTACCGTGAACATTTCTTAAAATGTTCCCTTTGTGCTACTTGACCTATCGCAGTAGAATCGCGTCAACGCAGCTTGTGAAATACTGTCCAATTACAAAGATATACAAATGGACGCGGAACACGCAGAATCTGAGACAACAAAAGTTAACGTACAAAATGCCATAGGGTTGTCTAAGGGCCGTGGCTAACTTGCAAACGGCGATAGGCATTGATCTCCATCAATTCTTCGCTCGTACCCCCCGCCCTGCAAACAGGACGCTGGGATACACTGATGAGCTTCACAGAATCTTGTGAATCCGACTGTTCGTGATTCAAAACGGAGTCTGAGCAAGTGACGGGAGTTGTAAATTTTCAACACAGATAAGTTTTACAGAATTTCCTACATCATTACGCTTTTCAACGAAAAAAAATCTCTAAACTGGAATTAAAGAGTAATGAGTCTTAACGGCCGTTTCAGACCTTGCACAGTCATTTTACATCTTACCAATCGTAATCATAAGCTGTGCTTTTACGTCCTGTATCAACACAACATCAATAAAAAAGGTTGTGTATATCATGAGCAGCTATCAAATAAAATAACTGACAAAATTAACTTTCAAAAGGTAACTTGGTTCAAAAATGGAAGTGGTGCTAATATCCCTGTGAAATTATTATCTCTAGCATGCTGTCATTTTTAAGAAAACAATAAAATAAGGCCATTGCCAAAGATGTGTCAAAGGACGCACTTGAGAACGTGTCTCGGGCGCGATTTTTTGTCCCAAACGACACCCGCATGAAGTGTACGCAATTGCGTTTTGGACTTTACTTTTCTTAAAAAGAGAAAAGAATATGAGATAAAAAAAAATAGAAAAAAGAAATGAACGTAACGGAATTTGGACCGTGTTACCCTTTAAAAAGAAAATGCCCTAAAGCATCGGAATAGAAAAGAAAGAAAATCAGGTGAAAAGGGTCGAGGATTCCTTGCGGTACAAAATCACGACCCTACTTTGATCCAGATCTCCATAAAAAGCAGCACTCGGCAATTTTGTTTGGCTTTTCGTTTGCCCCGTTTTTTTTGTTTCCGGTGACGTTGCTGGTCACCGGAATATCCATCTTGAGTGCAACTACGGCCTTTATAGCAGCGAATGTTCTAGCAGAGCGATATAGAGAGCGTCCGATCATGCAGGAAAAACTTCTTGGAGCAAGTGGCCGACTGACTGTTTACTATGGGTTGTATGTTCACCTGCTTGTCACGTAACAATTGTGGGCAAGCCAGCACACGTTCCCAGGCTGAGCGCTGGAGATCACAAAGAGTAGCGCATTCCTAAATTGCTACATTTCTAGACAAGTGCGCATTCCCAATTGTATACATTTCCAGACTCACTGATTGATACAATTTGGTTCGGTTGTTTCGCTTTATCGAATTATCGTGGCTTGTAAAGATAGGTTTAGGCCTTAATTGCGCAAACACCTGTTCGTGTTTCTGATTTAAAAGAAACATACCTTTAACTCAAAATACATATTTAAGGTAGGCAAAGTGAAAGTAACTAAGCCACGTACGCAGAGCAATGTTCGTTCTTCGCAAAAGGGGGTTATAATTTGAAGGGGCACTAGGTCCTGTAATCCCCGGAAATGTCGTGTTTTGGATTGTTTACTTATCTTCTTTCAATCATCTGGTTGAAAGGAAACCAACCTTATGTCTTACCGTTCCCGAGAAAAGACGGGAAAAATAAGGTTGTTTTACATCGGACATGACGGAGTACGAATACGTTTTTCATGTCGTTTTTAGTGTACGATACACGTTGTGTGTGTCTACAAATATACGGGAGTTGAAAGCTACCGCTGTGCATGATAAAAAATATAAAAATATAAACAAATCCACTATATGATTTAAAGATCTCCCCCCGGCAGTTCGGGATCAGGGAACATGCCTCAACAAGGTATGCGCAAAGGTACTGAGCATGTACATGCAGTTTTGCGACAATGAAATAAAAACATTATAGCTGGATTAAATTTTGTATTTTCGAGCAATTTTAAAAATTAATTTTGAACGATTACAATACAAGCTCTCAGTATAACAAATTAACCATTCTTGCAAATGTCCCCCTATAGAAAAGAAAGAAAATAAAACAAAAAGTTATGTGGCGATGGCCAAGTCTTCAGGAGTCGGACTTATGACCCTAACTCAATGAGCCCCTTACCGACTTCCATATAGAACTCTTCTGGGACTCGGTACCCGGCCCACCACACCTCCTTCCCTGTCCATCCATGTTACTCGAAAGTCAGGCACCATAAAGGGAGGAAACGAGGTGGCACCCTAAGCCTTGCTGCCGAGTCAGCAAAAGAACCCCGTACCTATACGCAGATGCCAACCTGGACTTCGCAGACAGTCCCAACTTGTGAGTCAGCTTACCAACCGACCGAGCTAACTGCTGTTGGTAAATGACGACGGGAAATTAATACTCTTAAATGACAGAACCGCGGACATCGGAAACCACAAAAATGACACCAAGCGGGTTCGAACCCCTAACCCTGGATCCGTTGTCAGACAGCTTAACAACTAGGCTGTTTTAGTAGGTGCTTTTCTCTTTGCGTTTCAAACATAATCCTTATTTCCGTAGTGGGAGAGTTACTTTGTGTTTCAAAGCTGCACGAAAGATGCATCAGCATCGCCATATACACGTGAATGTTGTTACGTAACTCTTTTCTACAATCATTCTTATATACCGAGCAATTGACTATTCAGAGTCACAACGAACAATTAACCTTACCAAGCTTGGCCTTATTCTGTCTCATCAATTATTGTTTCGCGTCGCGCGTCTTCGGCCGGCACTGACATGTCGCTATGATTGAAAGAAATTCTAGCAAGTTTCCCCTTTTGATATTTCTATCAAACTACTGACCCGTTTACACATTTTTTCGAGGGAATTTTGTTTGTCTGATTCTAATTCAGCTCCCTTGGCCAGCTTGGACAAATTCATTTTTTTCTTTTACTTACGCTAAGTCTAGGGAATGATGCCACTATAATACAATGTCACATTAACGTCAGCCTGTGGCATGATTAGAATCGTGACCACGCGAGTGCAAAGACGGCCAGTGGCGTAAAGCTGTGCTGGCGAGTGGGGGGGGGGAGGAGAATGACCAAAATCCTAAAACTCGGTTGATTCACAATGCAGAGCGCCACAAAGAGTTTGCTATGGAGAGTCATTTTTTTTTCAAATTACGGTCGACAAAACAAGGCCCATTTGAATGAGTGTCAGTAAACAACTTTAGCTAATTGGTTATAAATTCAGATATAGCATTCTGCCGCCTTACTAAAAACACCATATTGATACAAAGAAAAGAAAACGGCAAATTTATACTCGAATCATATACGCTTACGAAACTGCAGACCGGAAAAAAAACTAACTAAATTGGGGTCGTATTATGTACTTAACAAACGAGTATAGTTTTTACTAAGACCTGCACATGTAATATGCCAATCGGCGGCGGTGGAACGTTTTTAAAACTTTGGGCATCACCAAAAAGAGGCATTTGCTCGAAAAAAATGCACCTTCCGTAAAAGAGGAGAAAATTGTAAAACTGTTTTCGGTCACATTGCAAGGAATACATGCTACCCAGAGCTAATTTAACTACCAACATTGATATACACTTTTAAAGACGGTTTGCATTACATTTTAAAACAGCCTTTTGGGTGTCATTTTGCTTCTCAAAGAGGGGGTGGTACATAGGCCTACATGTGTATCATGATCAGTACTTATTGTGCGAGTGCGAAGCCTAAACGGCGCGGGGTTCGAGGCCCGCTTAAGGGCCCCTGACCAAAACAAATGGATTCTAGGCGCCCTGTCGTGCGATCTGAGGCAATTTCTGACGATTTCCAAAGTTTTAGCACAAGATCATCATTTAAACATCGAGTTTGGAGTCATTGGGGAACGACATCCAGGCGCGGATCAAGAGGGGGGTTTTGGGGACACCGGGCCTGAGTAGATCCCTAAAGCTGGCCGCTGTGGCCTAATACATTGATATAAATCACACTTCGGCGAGTCGTTCTCAGTCGATCTGAATTGATATCAGATCAGAGGAACTGAAGAAAGAATTTGTCTCAGACAATTCAGACAATTCCTTTTAGAGACTGGTTCCTTTATTATTCTTCGCATTCTGTTGCAAAACCACACACAGGGTATGTAGCTCTTGCTGCATATTTTGAGTCCCTATTTTTACATAGTGAGCTCACCATCCATCCTTACCATCTACTCGATTGCAAACATCTGGCAAAATATTCAATTAACACTGATGTGTCATGCAATGTCTCTATAATGTACCCGTTTACTTGCCTGAATTCACACGGATAAGAGATAAATCAACATCGGATAGAACCAAGCATGCCTGGCAAGAGACGCCGCAAGCGTAGAGGAATGAGACTACGAATAAGATACAAAGAGAAACACCTAGTATTATAGTCATTTTTTAAAAGCACTTTCAAATAAGATTCCTACCTTTATGTAAAATATAATACAGTGTAAGTGCAAAAAACAAAAACAAAAAAAATCCGGGACCATTGTATAAGTGTAGTTCTGCATGTATAGCACTGTCAAAATCTAGGACATGAAAGTCCAGTTTAAAAGCTACCGTTTAGTACAACACTCATTCAAATAACTCATTACATTTTTAAGTTGCGGAATTTTACACATTTTAATAAATTGTTTTTAATAAAATCACACAATGTTCACAAAACTTTCTCATAAAACACCTCATAAAAATGTTCCACTACATTTGTGTTTAGAACATTCCTAAAGAATGACCACTTTAAACACAGGAACTGAACCTGATGCGTTATCTCAGACTATGATGACGCATTCCTATATGTCGCAGCTATTTTGTTTTTACATGAACATCCATTTTACAATCAGAGGAAGATTGCCGTAAATGAACAAAACTGCCGCAATCACGAAGAAGAAGCGATCTAGCGCTGCTGCAACCAGCTTCATATCGTCTGAATCCTGTCGAAAAAATAATGGTATAATTAATGCACTGTATAACCGGCAGTACAGTACCCCCCCCCCCAAAAAGAAATAGTGTCCGCCTAATATTATTGAAGTAAAACAAGCAAGAGGTAAGTTTTGAAGGTCATTAATTGTGCAGATACTCCTAAACTTTGGCCTCAACCCCTATTAGTGTTATTTAATGTCCCCCACGGCTCACTGCACAATGGTCAATAATTGATCACAACATTTTTGGACACTTGTGACCAACTTTCTTGCCTTAATGAATGTCGGTGCTTGATGGATGCAGTGTACAATCATTCATGTTGTGAAAAAAAAAGATGAGGTTGGGGATTGGAATCATTTGCCTGGCTATCAGTCATTATGGCAAGACCCCGGTCTAATGCTCAAGGGCAAATGATTCCAATCCACAAACTTCATCCCTTTTTCATTACATGAAGGATTTTACACAGATCACTATACATAACAAATCACTGACATTGATTAAGGCATTGAGTTGAAAAAATTGATGCATGCATCCTCTTCATTACGATTAAGAAAAACAAATATAATATACTGCGGCGTTGTCATTCACTTTAATACAGCCTGGCCTTGCATATATACCCAGATAGCCGAAAAGTTTAAAGCCCGATAGTTAAGGCAAGTGTGCATGTACAGTGGCAAAAGAAAGGCCACACATCTTTTGTTTTATGGAACTTATAAAACTCACATTTTCGTCTTTGATGGCTTTGGAGCAACTCTGGGGGTCTTCGTGTAATTTCAATTCGGCAACCTTGACGAAGAATCTATCCTCTGTGCTTCTCGTGACGCTCTGAGCTTTCCCGTCTGGTAGGGTCAGCGTCTCCACCGAGTCTTCGTCCACCGTGTGAGTGCACTTCCCGTCTGTCAGAGTTTGCGAGTCACTCCCGCAAACCTTTTCCCTCCCACGCGCCACGCACACGACCATGGGCAGAACGCGGAGAAACACCGTCCGGAGCAGGCGCCCACGTAACGGCCCGGGCCGGTGGTGCACTCTGACCGTGACCACGCTGAGCAGGATTGCCAGGCCGCCCACGAGGAAGTTACACTCGATGCTGCTCAGTAGGATCGGCGTGCCTTGGCCACCCGTGGGCGGCAGAGACTCGATCACGACCAGCCAGAGGACGGCCTGGCCAAGCAAGATGGACACGGCCATAGAAACCTGAACAATAAAACAATCAGGCCGTATTATGAAAAACACAAAACCCGTAGGTTATTTTGCGCGATGGGAGTTATACATTGTATTTACATGGAGGGAATTTAAATTCGGTAATGAGTTTTAAATTGAAATACAGTAACAAGAGCGAATGAAAATCTGGTCACGGCTGCTGAAATGTGGATTTGTTGAAGAATGCTTGGTATCAAATGGAAAGAAAAAAGGACAAACAGAAGTTTTCTGCAGGAAATAGGAGTGATGTGATGAGGCAGCTTCTAGGAGAGACGTTGGAAAGGAAGCTCACGAACTTCAGTCATATTATCAATGGCAGCGGAAGTGTATTGACTTTCCAGCTCATAGAAGAAATGGCTGGAGGAACATGAAGGAGGGGTCGTCAAAAGAAACAATAGTTTTACAACATCAAAGAATGGACAGGAATATGAGCTTTGTACAAGCCAGGCGTCTCGCTCACGACAGAACAGCTTGGAGGCATGAGATCAAGCGTTGCAAGAGAATGATTAGGTTCAGGGCACCAGTTTGATTTATTGGGAAATAGCTTATCAATAGCTGTAGTAGTAACCTGGTGTGGCGATGTCTGGGATGGGGATGACTGTATTCCAGTGGGTTCGGCACTATGGAAATGGTATTTCAAGCTTAGCCTTCTGAAGAAACGTTCAGCATCCTCCCGGGTGTCAAACTCATCACAGTTGCGACTAAGTGGAACGAAATTCAGTCCACGCTGGAGGACAGAACACTCTGTTTCGTTGAGGTTGAAGTCAGGAGGGATGGTGACAACTAATGTCTTTGACGTTGTATAATTATGTAGGCGATGTCATGTGGTAGACCTCACAGGATGCTGTGAGTGACCGAACGACTGAGGTTTCTTGCTTGGAATGGATTGTTTTGGTTTAGTCTTGTTTACTTTTGTGGATTACTTGTTGGTTCTTGTATTTTGGCCGAATAAATAATAATAATAATAATAATAACATCGACTTCTCTGAAGCGCTCTGTGTTCAGTTCATGAATCACGCCCATGACATACGCGTCTTTGTGTTGGCCAATGTTGTAGAGATTACTCAGAAGGTTATGGCTCCACTTATTAAGGGTCGAATATCTCAGGTGCATGAAACGTATGTTTCGATTCATGAGCTTACGTGATGTAGATTTCAATGTCCGACGATGGTTGGATAAATCACCGGGGGTGAGATTGCATGGGTGGTAATTATTACGAAATCCCATGGTTGAACGCAAGTACATGTACCTCAAGAATCGTGTATGGCTGTTGGTTCTGGTCTCATTGGAATGGCTGATGATAAAGCCATTGACTCATTGATTAACCTCTAGTGAGTGCCGAAGGAGTCGCCCACGGATATGCAATTTAGTAGCCACATGGACCAGATGTTAAAAGTTCCCAGCGAATTGGAAGTTATAAAGAGCAAAAGAAGGGATGCACATATACGCCCCTCTGTTCAATGTTGTTGTTTTTTTTTCCATAGGGAAGGGGCAAGCATAAACGTTTACGCGCGCGCAGCTCAGAAACAAAGATGCCCGTCCCTTTGTAAAACTGAAAATCTCCGTTGACCTACTTGTATGACTTTCCGTGCCAAACGTTTGGTACGTGTTCAGGGGGAAGGCACGCTCGCGTCTGATCGTGAAAATGTAAAATGCAATTATCAAGATGCCTGCCCCTGGAAGTATACCGGTAATGTAATATAAATTAATGATGTTTGCTCACGGAAGCATGTCAAAATTGGGGGGATGTCATTTTTGACATGCCTGTCACTTTGTGAAAACGATGACAATTTAAAGGGTTGTTTTTAGACTACTCACTTTCTCGCCACTCTCTGGAGGTAGCCAGAACACCCAGAGCGAGATGAACGCCATAGTAATCGACGGCAGGGCCACATTCATCAGGTTGTAGTGCGGCAGCCGCTCGGCGGTGAATTCCAAAACTAATGCCTCGTAGGTTTGTGAATCAAAGACATATTCAGTCACTAGGCCGGTCAGTCTGAGGGGTCGCCACTGACTGGGTATCTCCAGATTATCCACTTGGCTGGCGCCGGGACGAAGAGTCATCATGTCCTTCGGCATGTTCTGGGACGCAAAAATCAGCCAGCAGCTCTGCCGATCGAAGGGGAACTCTGAGAGTTTCATCCCGCAATGTGTCTTGTGGATAACTGGACCTGCAGCAAGAATTGATAAAGGTGTCGGTAAATAGGTTGAGGGGGTTGGCATTCCTATGTTTCGTTTTTGTGAGTAAAATTGTGTATGTTGTCGTTTCGTCACCGACACCACTAAGTAACATTCAAGAGACCGGTTTCCTAATAATTTCACTTTCATACACGCATGCGCATAAATTTGAAGGAAGGTAAAAAGCGAAATCGGCCCATTGAAATTGTACACGGGTCTAGTTGTGCATTGTACGGTAGACACGCGTTGATTTCGGCAACAGCCCGATTGTCCAAAGGTTCGTGATTTTTTTTCATGAACATCACCCAACATGTGAAATCTGTAGAAAAACATCACCCCGGATGTGAAATCTTCAGAAAAAGAGATAAAAAAGACTACAGTGCCATCACCCCGGTTGTCTCATCCGCCCGGTTGTCCGAAGGTTCATTATTTCGAAGGGTAGTTTTCCGAAGGGTCGTTAGTCCCATGGTTTAATAGTCCCAAGGTTCGGTGGTCCAAAGGTTCGATAGTACAAAGGTTCGAAAGTCCGAAGGTTCGATAGTCTGAAAACTAGAATAAGGTTGCGATGCGATGCGATGCAAAGATGCAGCCCTTAAATCTTCCCTATCTATTGTTAGGGTCCCCAGCTCCCCTGAGTCATTGAGACCAACATCTTGCCACAGCTTGTCAGTGTACATGGCTCGTCTCCGCCCCTCCCCCCTCCTAGCAGTTCCATTGTCGGCTCCCACGGGATGGTGTTGTGGGCTGCTAGCTCTGGGTGGCGGACGCAATGGCCAGCCAAACCCATCCTCCTCACCCTGAAGTTGTCTGGGATGTGTAGAAGGCCTCCATAATGGTCGATGTTGCTGATGTGGTCTCTCCAGGAGACATGCCGCTGTGTACAGCTTGTAGCCGAGTTAAGTGCTGTAGCATTTGATCTTGTTAATACTTCTGTCCTTCTGGCGCACTTGGCGGTGTTCCTGTATATCCCGCATATTTCAATCCCCTGTTCTGTTATGTTCCATGCCAGTTCCCCAGTTTCGAATACAAGTTCCCCCTTTACTCTAACGCTCTAAAGAGTGTTGAGTGTCTGAATGTAGAACGTGGCAATCCTGAAGGGCCGCTTACATTTCAATAGCTTCGCTGGTGGTTCCCGCCGCCTGTCAGTCGCTCCCCGCCCGTGTGGGTTTAGGGGTGCGCCGTGATCAGGTCCGACATGCAAATGCGACCAGGTTCCAGCAACATCATGGTTCTTGGGGACTCCCGCCCCTGGAATTATAGAATTCGCTTCGTGGTTGCGATGCATAGTCCATTCATGGCTGAGTACAGAAGATGAGTCTCCCGGTCCCTCATCCGGGCCTGCAGTTGGCACATCATAGCTATGCTCATCTCCCTACGGTTTGGCCGTCACCTGCGTCTCGGTCGCAGGGTGCACGCGCGCACCTCCTCCGTCCTTTAAGGCATGAGACTTTGCCTTTCCTTTAGCTGGTTGGTCATTTAAACAGCACATTCCACCGATGAAGATCTAACTGCTTGGCCCAGCTGGGGGGTTGAAATCAGAGTTTATCTTCTCCTAGGTGGGCTGTCATCCAAGGCTGCGATCCCCATTAACCTTTGTTTTGAATCAAAGTTGCTGTCTCCTTGGAGAACCACCTCCCAAGGTTAACGAGCTTCACCTAACGAGGCTCTGTTGGACGCTGATCATATGGGACATTTCATGGAAGAGGAGTGGCTCAAATCTCCTCGCCGCCCCCCGATCAAGAAATTAAGGTTAGATGATCAGGTTAAATAAGATTGAATAATCCCAAAGTTCGAATGTACGAATAGACGATAAGGTTCGACAGTCCGAATCGACAATAAGGTTCGATAGTTCGAATTGATAGCATTGAACGTTATTGCCAATTCGGGCAATCGAACCTTGTGTGCTTTCGGACTGATGAATCTTCGGACTAATTAACCTTATTCTAAATTCGGACTACCGAACCTTCGTATAACTTTCGGTTTATCGAACCTTGATTTCAACTCTTGTATGGCGAAGACGATAGCGTATACTCAGTCCGATATTTGAAAGTTTATGCATACCTTGTAGGTCGACTGTTCCATCCCACTTCAGCAGGGCTAAAAAGACGCTTTCGGGAACGGGGTTTTGAATCATGTCACCTGCCCTGTGAACAATCCGAAAGATCATTGACAAGTAAGTGTTTTTGTTTGTCTGTTTTGTTTTACCACAATTAACCGTTTTCAATCAAAGGTTTTCGAACCATGCACATTTACGTAAAGGGTAATAAAAAGAAATTGACCTTTTTTCGCCGGATTAATTTGAACTCACTCGTTGGTTAGAAGAATCTTGGGCGTCCATATTTCACTGAGGCCCAGTGACAGGTGAGTGATGTTGTCATAATCCATTGGATCCCAGCGAGCTCGGTAGTCGTGCCATGTCTTAATAACAAAAACATTCAGGTTAATACAACTTAGCTTTTTCAGCGGAAGGGTACAGCATGAAGTGATGTTATCGTTTAAAAGATTTAGACTTTAACAATGTAGACACACACTTTGCTATGTTAATTGCCTAACCCCTAATGTCAATGGCGTATCCAGGTGAGGGTCTACCTTCGCTGCCCCCGTGGCATTTGGGGTTTCTTATTTATCATAATTGTTTCGATGGTTTTAAAATCGTTCACACGTCGATAAAATAAAGTCTTTATTCCCCCTCCATCCCCAATTCTGCATGCCTCATGTGTCTTCAATATATGTTAAACAGCAAATTTCATCTTTGCTAAACAGAGTTCGTCAACAGACGGTACCCTGTCAAACCAAGTCCAAATATTTCCCATCATAACCTCGTGATATGAATTAGTCATGATTACTTCCAAATATGGACAGGCATACTTTACGACCAATCAGATCTTTCTTCACAAAATCCGACCCACAACGATCGACCTCCTATGTACGAATGACAGCTCCCTGATCCGTTCTTAAAAGTGCTCTCTTAGTGGCTAATAAAGATGACCTTAAATAAATGCAACCTGAAAATTCAGTATGAAGGAGGCGTCACAACGTCAACGCAGACGTTGGGTATCAATCAGTGTTGAAGATTGGGACTCGATTTGCCTGGCGTCTTACGACGTAAGACTACGCCGTCTAGGACGATAGAATTGTGCATCTTACCAATTTCATCCATGACGCGCCAGTCATAACCTGTGCTTTCTCGTCCTGTATCAATGAAAGAGAAATTATAGGTGGAGCTTAGGTGGTTTAAAGAAATTATTCTTTCTTGCATGCTGTCACTTTTGAAAAAAGAAAAAAAAGAAAATGGGGCAAGTTCCAAAGATGCGTCAAGTGACGCATTTAAAAAAAAAATAATTAGTAGTTAATTTGTAATTAGGCAAAGTACGCTCACGCATTGAGTCGACGCACGCGCGCGTGCGGTCGCTAAAATTCTTCGGTTGTCGGCGTGTCCCGTACCCCGATTTCGGGCTCAATTCAAAACAAGACTCTGTAACTTTGGAATTCAAACTGAGATCATAGAATATTGTTTTCTTGGAATATACAGCCTTCACATAGCCAACACTTCATCAGGTTAGTTACTAAGCACTCGTCTTAACTACGAAAGGCAAATGAGCTATTTTACTTTTAGCAAGTGATATACATGGGTCATTTAAAAACGAATCTTTTTGGTCTTATGTTGAAACAATTCCATGTAACAGGCAGATTCACTTCTATAAAACTTGAATGAAAGAGTCCAACTAAACATAAATAAATATTGCACGCTCTGCTTAAAATGTTAACATCACTAACAGTAAAGTGACTTGGTTATAGACTAAGGCTATACTGATGTTAACTGCTTCACGGAAAGTGGCACAAAATGGGTTTCCTGGGGTCTGCCGTTATTCAAACATATCTTTGGACATCACAGGAGAGAGGGCCCAAGCAAAATGTACATTCTTTCACTTATTTGGTTGTATTTCTGGATATAGGGACCAAAAATGGAACGGGGTAAAAAGTAGTGGATTGAGTAATAGTCAGGCTTTAATGTAGCATATAAATTAATTGAAGAAAAAAAAACAACATTTAACTATTTTTTATCATTTGTTTTCTGAATGTTGCACTTTTTTGGTACACTCTGTGTACCAGGCCTTGTAATTGTCCAACCGGAAGATTAAATGTCATGGTAAATATAAATTCTGCTGGTTGTGAGAACGCGAGGTACATAACAGGCTAAAATTGTTAATCACCATTAAAAAGAAACTGTAATAACCGTTGCCTTATTGATTTCTCTCAAAAGAAATTGCACATTAAAATACGGAAATTCCTGGTAACTCTTGCTGGTATGCATTTACACAGACCATGCTTGATCATCTCGATAATAGTTATTTAAAACGAAAACTAACAACAGAAAAGGCTATTTAGAATTGTAATAATCCAAGTGAGTGGAATAAACTACTTCAATATGTTTCCACCATTTGAGCGAAAATAAAGTTTGAACAATATCTATTTTAAACACGGGTAGATTGGATCGGGGGAAAAGATAGGCCTTTAATTAATGCGTTAATACTATAAGTCCAGATTAAGCAATTGCAATCTTTGGGGAAAACAACTCACAAGCGTATGGTTTCGTGTTATCATTCACGGTTGGGCCGGTGTTCTCTTACGGGTGTCGGCCAGTAAATAAGTCTGAAATTGCCTACCTAAGCCAAATCACGATTTGCATGCCCTCAAAATTATCCGGTATTAGAGCATTTTGTGTGCCATGAACTTGAGGGTTTGTACAAAAAGAAGATTGGAAGCTGTGAACAGGACTGCGAGCTCGTATGTCGGTGAAATTTGGATAAAATTGGGTCATGAAATTGCTCTACAGTATGTTTAGAAAAAGCGTCCGTCTGAATATTTTCATAATAACTACAAAACCACGATGTTTGTGTAATTCTGCAGATACTTCAGCCTTGGCCTACACCCCTATCAGTTTAATTTAATTTCCCTAAAGCATCACTGCAAAGTGGTCAATTGATTACAACAACATTTTTGGAGACTGTGACCAAGTTCCTTGCCTTAATGAATTCCAGCTTTGTGTTTAAGTATGCTAGGTGGAATCCTGCATGTTGTGAAAAAAAAACTGCGATTGGGGTTGGGGTTGGGGTAAGGGTGAACTTTTGGATGAACATTGACCATATTAATGGATATATGAATGGGGTCACTGTGGGGAACATAAGGACTGGAGAATATAGGGGCCGGGGAACATATAGGTACGCACCCCGGTAAAGCTATCAACACTGCCAAAGAAGTTGCAATAATATCAGCGAATTAGAAGCTCGAAATAGATATCAAAGTGAGGACTATAATCATTGTATCTATCCCAGCAAAAGTAATCTACCGATTATTATGTTACTGCTTACCTGAATATTCCGTCTAGCGTGCCGTCATTTTGAAGAAATCAAGAAATGTAGGTGATTCCCAACGATCATTCAATTGACTCATCATTCAATTGACTCATATTTGGAAATACAGAGTGCTATTGACGAAATCGTGTTTGTGATCGCAAGGTTGTGCATGGTATTTCATTGGTTTTTTTTTTTCCAAAAAAAGGGATATATCCACTGAGCTGAAACTTCAACAGGTTGGGGTTTGAACCCTTTATTTATGAAACACAAGCTTTTGTGTCTTATGAATATTAATATATAGCATCAAAATGTTTTTATGTTAATCTACTGCCTTGAAGATGGTGTGAACATCCGCAGAAAATTTTATGAAATACAAGCTTTTGTCTCTTATGAATATTAATGTCTTTCAACAAAATATTTGTATGTAAATCTATTGCCTTAAAAATGGTGTAAACATTTTTAGCCAATATGGAAAGGTTTACATGCACCTTTTTTTTTTCAGGACACCCTGTATATGTACAAAAATGTATATATTGCCCTCTCTGGGGAGAAACAGGACTATTTAAAAATGGTCACAAAGCACATGAATGAGAATGGTCATCCGCTGGAAGTCTTTAGCCATTCGTTAGCGTTAATAAGGGTTACTGAAAATGCCATTTTACCACATGCGATATTTTTCCTGATATTTTGTACACAGGTTCATTAACGCAAGCAAGCAAACATGAAGTGATTCCCCTTTTAAAAGCCAGCTCTTTTCTATAACAGGATTTCATTGTTTATCATTTACCCAGCCCACTGTAACATTATCTGGTTAAAGTCTTCATGCAAATGGCATTAACCACATGTTGCCAGCAACACAGGTAGTTTCAGATGGACATACCATTGATATGAGGGCGTACATGTTGAACGCGAGATCAACAACAACAGAATGGTTGGATGCAATGGCAGGACGTCGCAGCATGTCGAAGATACCGTTGCCTGTCACGATCAGGTGACGAAGACGCGTTTCGGTCAGATAAGGGTCAGTGGCATTGTAGGCATTACATGACCGTCCTGCAGGAAAAATTGAGGGATTATATTCATTCAAAATGTTCTGTCGGTGCTTTTCAACACATTTGATTGAAAATTTGATTGAAAATTTATCAACTTGTTTTTTTCGTTCGATGTCACTTTCAAAAATGAATGTCTGTTTCTGTTTATATTGTTTTCCACGAAAATAACACGGAGAGTCAATCTGTGTCTGTGAAAGCACATAGGATCATTTGCATTTATCCCAAAAGTAACCAACGATTACAATGAACTGGTCGTTGGGGAAAAACAAAAGGTAATATGAACGAGATCGTGTTTCGTGATTAAAAGGTTGTGCATGGTTTCTATTATCTTTTTTTCGAAAAGTGTACAATCCACTGAGCTGGAACTTCGACAGGTTAGGTTTTGAACTTTTTTTTTAAATTTTGAGTGGTTCTATTATGTGAACATGATCTTATATGCCTTCAACTGGTTTTGTATTCCAACTGCATGTGCGTACATCAGAGATTAAAAGAAACAAAGTTAATGAACAAAATGTAACAGAACCTATTTTAAAGGTAAGTCCATCATTTACAGCTATCCAAAAAGTGTCTGACGAAATTATTGTTAAAAGCATACTCGGCCAAGAAATGGGATTAACTCACAGTGAGATTACTCTTTCTGGTAACCTGTCATTTTGAAGAAAACAATGGAAAAAGGCCATTTCAACGATGCGAAATTCCAATTAGTATGACACGATGCACACACGCCGGTTTAGTGCGCGATATTGCGTAGCTGCAATTGGCTGAATAAGAACGCTGAATTCGGGCGCAATTCAAAACATGACTTAGCATCTTTTGATTTGAAATCGAGATCCTAAAATATTGTTCTCGAAATACACAGCATTCACCGAATAAAAACTTCATCAGGTTAGTTTAAAACACCCTACTTTAAATTTTAAACACTCTTATTGCTTCAAATTAACAAAATACACACATTTCAAATGATGGACTGTACCTTTAAATTAGCACCACAAAAAGCATTCTAAATGAACATTAAATAAAACACTTAACGAGACCAAACATGACGAGAGAGTCCAGTGGATTTGGTTGTGACGAAGGGACAGAGAAAACAGTCACATTATGTTAACACTAATCAGTCGAACAAGGTATGTTTATGTAATGAAGCGTAACAAATGCAACAAAACGTTACCCAAACCGTTTTCAACTTTTCCAAAAAACCAGCAATGGATTAACAAAGCTTAACAGCTGGAAAAAATCAGTTTGCAGACGAAGCCTACGTAGACCTAAGTAGAGTACGTACTTGAGGTGAGAAAGTTCATATGTTTTTTTCATGATTACCATCAAAAAGTTATTCTACTTTAATTTTAAATCATTTTACCCGTATTTAGCAGAAGAGCAGAGAGAAGCCACAACGGTGCTACCAGTCCGCTCGCCATCACATCACTCCACAGACTGACGGCTACGGCGTAGTTACACACCTGACATTAACTAAAAAGCCTCTGGGGTGCATTAACAAATTGCCTTCGCGGAGATTGTGATTAGGATCTCTTTAATGCCCGCGCTGGAAACACTGGAAATGCCCGTTGGCAACATCCTTAATGGTATTTTAATTTTCGAGCAACAACATTTCAGGCGGGATGATTTCGTGGGGTAATTGACTTGAGTGAGCTTTCTGTCATTAAATAATCCTACGCAGCTTTAATTGATGGTAATGGTGGTATGACAGGTGCGGCAGTTATTTACATTATTGATACAAGCGAATGGGCGACAAGACAGGTGTGGGCAACCAAATAGGTGTCACGCACTCATTCGATAATACTAAATTGGCCTTTTAACCACCATCCTATAGCTGCAAGCGAAGACAGCTTTCTGATGTGCCCTAGATGCGTTTATTTCAATGTTGTTTATATTGTGACAGAAGTTTTACTTGCGATTTTGAATACTGTTCGAAAACTAAACACACACTGTGAATTATTATAAGATGGAATCTAAACACTTAAAAATAATAATAAATGGCGTCACATGTTTAAAATCTGTCACAGGCAATAAATGACGTCACATGTTTAAAATTACAGCAGATTGACGTGTTTTCTTTTTGACTGTGTGTTTACTTTTTAAACGTCAGTTGTATTTAAATGTTAAACGCCTTTGATGTATATATTTTAAACACTGTTTCGTTTAAAGATTAAACAACGTCAGTGTGCTTACTTTAAACACCAAAAATGTTTTCAAATTAAACATGTTCATTGGATAAACTGCTTCAAGTGTTTAAAAACTGTCACAAATCTGTTTTTTATTTAGGTGTTCTAAACCTAACTACATGGTTTACAGTGTACTTTTGCAATCTAATTCTCGCTACATATTTTTGTGTTTCCTAACTTAAAGGCAAAATTCCATTAACTTAAAATACACATTCAAGGTAAGCAAAGGGCAAGTAAATAAGCCATGTACGTAAATCCCAGTTTGTTGCCGGCAATAGGGCATTATGATTTAACATGCCTTAGCGCACGTTTGGGGTGGGGGTGTTTGTAAAAAACTTTAAAATTGAGTCATGCTGTGAAACAAACATGCACAGTATTATTTCATTTATAAACGAATTTCATGAGTTAAAATTTCAGCGCTATGTGATTTTCAATTTAGTAATGGGAGTACGAAAATCTTCCAACTATATTGTCTTCAAAAGTGTTGTTTGCATGTTGGCTGCTAATGTCCTTTTCCTTGGCACACGAATGTAATTTGAGTTCCCCAGTATAAACATTATAATAGGCACACTGGTGATTTACCCGAGACAAAAAAAATACAACTTTACCAATATAAACCTCGCTCAAAGTGAAGACAAGTCTAGAACTAATACGCACCCTTTGAAATTATTCTGTATAGCCTGAAAGGGGAACATTCGCAAAAAAAAAAATAGAAAACACTGAAGGTGGTTTGAATAATGTGTAGACGTGTTGACGATACTGTGGGAATTAGGCCTTATGAGTAAAGTTGATTATGCAAATACCTTGTCCCACTACATGTAAGTATGGTTGAAGTAAGGTATTTGTAATTTTGAGGAACATATAATTTCGGTATTAAAATACATGCCTGTAAACACGATTTCGTCAATTAGTGACGGTATGTTTTTTATGAAAATGTAAATGTTCTACTGTCGGTTTGTATGATCTTGGAATCAGGAATTTGTCAGTACCCAGAGACATTTATTATAAACTGTTAGTTATCATGAAAATACAAACATTTAGAGACAACACACGATTGCATTTACTTCAAAATTACTCTGTGTAAAATATCGAGGACGCTAATATACAATCAGAAATGACAAACGGAACGACCTGATGCAGGGTTCAACCTTAACTTTTCTGTTCACTAGCCAGCCGGGCTACTGAATCTTAACTAGCCCGCGGGCATCTTCACTAGCCTGCATATTTATTTATTTTTTTATTTATTTTATTTTTCATTTTTTTATAGAGTGTCTCATAAACCAAAAGGTGAAATGAGTACAGAGCCTGAAAGTTGACTCCTGGTGGCGCACTTCAGGGCCCCTCGAAAAGGAAAATTAGCGTGTATAAGTCAGAGTTTTTGAAATTAGTTTGGTACATTAATTTCTTAAGAAAAGCCAACTCGGAATCCTAGGGAAACTGAAAAATCGCATGACGTGAAAAAGAAATATCGTGCCAAAAAATTGACCTCTCACTTCCGGAAACTTCCGTGTGGACTCGTGGAATTCGATCACTCGTTCAAGCATGAACATTTTTGAAATAATTTTGTGGCGGTCATTGCGTAAAAACTTAGCTTTAAAACAGAAGACTAAACTGTAGGTAGTAGGTAAATCTTTGCTTCGTAATTATTTTAATTCTCACGCAAGTACGCAATGTGAAAACAGACGTGATCGAACAAGGAGACCTAGGTTCGAAAATAGGTCGTGAGTAAAATTCGTTTTTACCCATTTCCAACTGATTTCTCATCCATTCTGAGGCAATTTTGTCAGTGTTTTTAATAAAAATATCTTATAATTTAATTACTAACTCATTAAATAATTCAAGGGCACATCGCTTAAACGACCAACTTCTGCAACGGCCTCTGCTCACAAACAACTTGGTGGAAGTTCTGACAAGGTTTCGCAATGAATCATATAAGCCTTAGTAGCTGATATTAAATGTTCCATCTGGTGAAAGTTCCCGATGAAGATTGTGATGCTCTGAGGTGTCTGTGCTGGAGCATCGGAGACCTATCCCAGGACCCGCAGGAGTACCACATGGTAGGCCACCTCTTTGGAGAGACCTCATCTCCTAGTTGTGCAGCATTTGCCCTGAGGAGGACTGCATTGGACACCTGAAGAGGCAGCTGTATATGCAATATTGGACAACTTCTACGTGGACGATTGTTTGTTGTCGGTGAGGTCCAGAGATCAAGGCATTGCGCTGGCAACACAACACAACACAACACTACACAACACAGCACAACATAACATAACACAACACAACACAACACAACACAACACAACACAACACAACACAACACAACACAACACAACACAACGACCGTGAAGTGTTGTCATTTACACCTGGTAGTTTAGAAAGTGACATCCATGAAGGACTTGGCGTTGGACAAGTTGCTTGTAGAGCGTGCACTTCGAGAATATCTGCCCTTGCTGCACACGAGACCAAAGTGGAACCTGCCTCAACGAAACCTAACGGGGCATGACCTGGTCTTAGTGACTGGTGACAACGCCCCTCGGCGTCGATGGCCCTTAGGACTAGTGACGGAATGTGTACCCTGACCAGGAAGGGAGTGTTCAAGGTCGGAGCAAGAATGTGCAGGAGACCCATTGCCAAGCTCTCTCTGTTAGAGCTGGGCGACGGCGGTTACCTTATGAGAGGATCCAGACAGATACAACGACATTGGTGTGTTGTAACAAATGTATCGGAAACTACGTGCCTATAGTTGTTGTTGGCACTATTAAGCAAGTTGCTAAGATGTATAACCAGTATTTGAGGATATTTTTACCGTAATGGGTGTTCTTTGTGTTGATCACTGTAATCATTAATTTCGGCTTATTAGTGTTAAAAAGTATAATGTAGATTCATGATGTGGATCTAAGGGCAGTAAGGTATTGAGATTGTAGCACGTCGCTTTATTAGATGTATGATCAGCCTGCTGTGTAATCATAGGGGATGGTAGCGGTGTTTTATTTGCAACACACATCGTCAGTGGCTCATGATTATTCAACTAGTTCGATGTTTATATTCATAAAAAATAACAATGACGTCCCACCATTGCTATCAGTCAGTCAAGCATTTCAAAGAACGGCTTTCATCGAGCTGCCACAGTGGCCTGGTAGATAGTGGGGTGAATTATGGATTGCAAGATCTCAGTGGTTCGAACCCATGCCCATTTTTTTCAAATATTTGTGTTGGTTGGGATACGTTTAATTGAAGGGGAAACATTACAAGAACCTAAGTATCTTCCATCCACACAGAGTGATAAATATTCATGTAAAGGTGCATCATGTGATTGGTTAAAATTCGATGTATTTTTCAGAAAAAAATAATACGCTGTCAGGTATAGCGTCGTGCAATCATAGACCGTGGGTTTGGTATAGCGCCCTCTCACACAATCTCAAGTGGCTGTATAATTACACCCTTGATGTCACGCCAAAAAGCTCTGTGTGTCAATTACGCGAAAAATCTAACCGTGTTTCATCGTGATTGATCTTGAAGTATTATCTTGTAGGCTCCATAATTGTATCTTTATACTGTATTGTATATTGTATCATTTATATCTTTATTAAAAACATACTGCAGTGTTTAAAACATATAGTAATATGTGATAATCACAGGTTTGTCACTTCTGTTGCAAAAGAAATCGTGCTCCGATTCATGGAATACAATACAGCCCCGGCCTCACACGTGCGCTTAAGCGGCATGTTAAATTATAACACCATTTTCACGGGAACAAACTTGGCTTTGCGAACCCATAACGTACGGATTGTGTTACATTAGTATAGCCGGGGGAAAATAATAATAAAAAAAACTCCCTCCGTCTTTTTCATACTGTTAATTACGTATGAGTGACGTAGCCGCTTGAGACGAAATGTTTATCAAATTGAAGATATTTCAAAGCCGGTATGCTCTACCGAAAACCGAGAAATCGGAATTTCATCCGTTGACCCTTTATGTGCCCTATGCCTAACGACCTTATTCCACGCACCAGACGATTATAGCATGGTGCAACTTTCAAAATCAATGCATTGCTTTGGCTAAAAAAAATTATTATTTCAGCTGCCACAGTGAAGCATCCTTACTACTATCATTGCGCCACCTTTCCCTCCCCCACTCCGCTTTTGAAAACAAATCTGACACTCACTAAGTGATGGGCGAACAAGTACTTTAGCTAAACATAATTATTTCAGCTGCCCCAGTCAAGCACCTTTACTACTATAATCGCGCCACCTTTCCCCCTCCCTCCACACCGCCTTTGAAAAAAATCACACACTCACTAAGTGTTTGGCAAACAAGTACGTATTGCTAGAAGGTCTGTCCACTGCAAAATGTCCATTAATTATACATATTGCTGGTGTAAAGAAACATGAACAGTCATGGGCGTGCCCAAGATTTTTTTGTAGGGGGGGGGCAAAGCACATTTTCCCCCCAAAAATCCCTCAATTTTCCAGCATTTCCCAATTGATCATTTTTTTCGAGGGTGGGCAGGGACATTTGCCCCCGCCCCACCCATTAAACTAACAACAATATGATCTCGCGCCTCTTTTTATTTTTATTTTTTTCTTTTGCTCGGGGGGAGGGGGCAACCACCTTGAATATGTATTTAAAGTTAAAGGTATTTTTCTTTTAAATTAGAAACACGAAAATAAATAGCGATAAGTGGATTCCAGGGGTAGTGTGGCAATTATAGTCAAGCGTTATTTATTTGCCAATCTCTATACGTACCGCGGCCTATTAAACATATGTAAATGACTGCCACACCCATTACCACCATTACCGTCAATTAAGCCACGTAGGACCATTTAATGACAGAAAGCTTTCTCGAGTCAATTACCCTCTGAAATAATTCTGCCTGAAATGTCGTTGCTCAGAATAAAGCAAATATTGAAGGATTTTTTTTTTTTAAGTGCCGGCGTTTCGCACAACATAATGTAGTTAGGAGATTTGTGCACATTTCTCTGTTTTCTCCAAATGTAAAGTAGCCATTGAGGTAAAACTGGAACAGGTTATAATTGCTGTTGTACGTGCACCCTATAAATCAACTTGAATCAATAGTTGTGTTCTTCCAAACGATACCATTTTAGGGAGAATAATATAGGTTTTCCCGGCCAATTGCCTGAAATGTTCATTCACTTCGGAAAGTCATTCGTTTTCGTCTGAGTTTGAATGCAAATCTTTGATCCGATTTAAATTCAATGAATGTACAATCGTTTTCATTGTACGTGCAATTGGTTTTCAGAAACAGACGGCCAATTACGTTGCCTTTCATTCACGCAAGCAAACCTGTTTTTTAAATTGATTTCAGTTACAGCTAATTTGTTTGACGATTAATGAAAATTAAATTTAAAGCGAAATTTAAACTTAAAGCGAAATAGAATGGGGAATGTTTGAAATCGCCCTCTAAAAGCGAAAAAGAAGTCCTGTGAACGAATCTTAATGGACACGCACGAAAGATGCAGCTGCTCAATCACTTAATTGATTGAACTGAAATGGAATCGAATGCTCTGGTATCGAGAAGGAAACAGTGCTTAGAGCGATTCTCAAATTTAGACGAAAATGAATGACTGATTTTCAGAAGTGAATGAACATTTTCGGAAATTGGCTGGGAAAACCTAAATTACAGGGTATTTTGTACCAGACCCATCTTCACTGTGAGTTATGTTTTGCTCAATAAAATCAACAAGTCAGTTTCCGGGTACCGGTGATGTTTTAATGTATCCAGCGCCCCTTAAGGAGATCCTAATTACAATCTCCGTGGAGACATTTTGTTAATGCATTCCCGGTGGCGGCTGTGGCAGCTTTGAATTATTGCCGGATGTGTAATTACGCCGTAGCCGTCAGTCTGCAGAGTGACGTGATGGCGAGCGGGCTGGTAACACTGTGGTGGCTTCTCTCATTTCTTGTGCTGACTACGGGTAAAATGATTGTAACTTGCAGTAGAATTTGTTTGATGGTCATTCTTTGTTTCACGAACACTATAAGGAGTTACTCACCTAAAGACATGCACACCACTGGGGTCTACGTAGAAAATCGGTCTGTCAACTATTTTGCAGCCGTTGATCTTTGTTAATCCATTGCTGGTTTTTTTGTTTGGTAAAGTTGAAAACGGTTTGAAACGTTTTGATGCGTTTGTAACGCTTTATAAAGAACCCTTGTTCGGCGCCGACTGAATAGACTAGCGTCAAGATATGTGACTGTTTTCTCTGTCTCTTCGTGAAATCATGTTAGCTGAACTCTGGTTAGGTTTTGTTTCATAAGGTTTGGTTTAGTTTTGTTGTTCGTTTGATATGTTTTAGTGCTACTTCCATAATAGATAAACTTTGAACAATACGTTGTGATACAATTGGTTCATTAACCGGTTTAAAGGCATATATTATAGAATCATTCGCACCTCGTGTATTTTGTTCGTTTCCAATAGTAACACCACCCTAAATCCAAAAAAAGATAGTTAAAACCCAACCTGATAAAGTTCCAGCTCAGTGGATTGTTCACTTTTCTAGAAAAAGTGAGGAACCATGTTCAACCTTTTGATCACGAAACACGATCTCGTTCATATTACTACTGGTCACCCCAACGACCAGTCAAGTGTCTGCTCGTTGGAATTCACATGCATTTCTTGATTTCTTCTAAATCACAGCAAACCATGACAGAATAATTTCATGGGGTGTTTAGCACAAGTAAGATCTTTACTCCAAGTAAACTTGTTGATAATAGTTTGGCAGGTTACCTTCGGGAAAATGCAAATGATCCTCTGTGCTTCCAAAGATGTATATACATGCCATTTTCATTTTGTTTTCTTTTTCTGGCTTTGTAACATACGTTCGATATAAGAGACATCAAACAAAAAAACAAATCAGAGTCAAACTATATAGGTTTTCCCGGCCAATTTCCTCAAATGTTCATTCACTTCTGAAAATCGTTCATTCATTTTCGTCTGAATTTGAATGCATGTCTTTAATCCCATTTCAATTCAACGAAAGTTCAATCGTTTCCATTGTCCGTGTGTTTTAAGAAACAGACAGCCATGCAATTATGTTACCTGTGCATTGCTTTACGCAAGCATACCTTTTCGCGCAGAGTTCTGGCAAACATTTTCGTGAATGTGCAATCACAAGTACGTTTTTTTCGTATTCGAAATTGTAGATTGCCTCGGATAACATTAAAGTTAAAGTAAAATAGAATGACCAATGTTTGAAATAGTCCTATAAAAGCGAAAAAGAAGTCTTGGAAACAAATCTGAATGAGTATTAACGAGATGTGCTGCTCAATCGCTTAATTTATCAAACTGAAATGGAATTGAATGCTCTGGTACCAAAAATGAATTGCGTGTTCAGAGCGATTCTCAAATTCAGGCGAAAATGATTGACCGATTTTCGGAAGTGAATAAACATTTTAGGAAATTGGCCGGGAAAAACTACATATCAAAGTCAAACAATATATAAAACAAGTGTAACCATATTTAGAAGAAAAATCGTTGAATTGAATAGGATTTGTTGAAAAGAACCTCTTTAATTTACGATTGGTTGTTGTTCTTTAATTCCTGCAGCACGGTCCTCCATTGCCCACAATGCATCTGCCTCATACCTGACCGAAACGCGTCTTCGTCAGCTGATCGTGAGAGGCAACGGTATCTATGACATGCTAGGACGGCCTGCCACTGCGCCCAACCACTCCGTTGTTGTTGATCTTGCGCTCAACATGTACGGCCTGATATCGATGGTATGTGCATCTGAAACTAGCTAGCGTAAAATATTGTCTACTTGTTTTCTCTCCCTAGAGTGCAAAAGGCATTATCTTTTTGCTGGTGCAATTATTTTTGAAGCAACCGAAGTGCGCAAAATCTAAATACGTGTGCATAACAACTAACCAATTAAGTTTAATTAGCACTGTAAAGGTTCTATATTTCGAAAAAAAAAAAACATTCTGGGATTTCAATTTCAATTTAAAAGTTGCCACGTTGCTTGTTTTAATTTGCGCCGGAAATAAGCGTCCGGGACACGTTCTTATTCAGCCGATTGCACCTGTTCAATGTCGCGCACTGAACTGACGAATATAGCAACCGCGCGCGTGTGCGTCGTGTCATCACGTGCTCGCACCCATTTACAGACTTACCCAATTACAAACCAGCTACTGACGAGAATTTCCAAAATCCGGCACTGGACGCATCTTTGGAAATGCACTTCTTGTGTTGTTTTCTTCGAAATAACAGCATGCCTGAGAAAATAATTTCACAGGGGTTTTAATACCACTATATCTTTAAACCAAGTGAGCTTTTCAACAATAATTTCATCAGTTACTGTTTGGATGTCTGCAAATGATTCAGCCTACTCTACCTGTAATTTCTCTTTCATCGATACAGGACGAGAAAGCACAGGTTATGACGGCCGCGTCATGGTTGAAATTGGTAAGTTGCACCATTGTATCATGCTGAATATACGGGGTAGTCTTACGTCGTCATACGCCCTGGCAAATCGAGTCCGACTCTTCATCATTAATTGAAATTCAACGTCAGCGAATCAGAGCCTCTGCGTTGCCTTCGTGACGCCTCCTACACACTGAATATTCAGGTTGTCATTTTTTTTAAGGTCAATTGTGTTAGCCAATAGAAAAGCGCTTTTAAAGACGGATCAGCTGTCAATTGTTATTTGGTGCATAGGACGTCGATTGTTTTTGGTCAGATTTTGTAAAGAGCGATCTGATTGGTCACAAATAGCGTCGGTCCATATTTGGAAGTAATCATGAATAATTCATATCACGAGGTTATAATAGGAAATACTGTGGACTGGGTTTGACAGGTTACTGTCCGTTGACTAATCCTGGTTAGCAAAGATGAAATTAACGGTTTAACATCTATTCAAGACACATCAGGCAGTGACGTATCCAGATCTTCATGTCGAAAGGAAGGGGGGAATGGAGTCTTAACTTTATCGACGTCTACACCGTTTTTAAACCAACGAAACAATAGTGATTAAATAAAGAAAACAAAATGCCGCTGGGCCAGGATAAGTTGACCCCCACCCCGCTGGATACGCCACTGACATTAGGGTTTAGGCAAAATAACCATAGCAAAGTGTGTGTCTACATTGTAAAAGTCTAAATCATTCACACGATGACATCACTAATGGTGTACCCTTCTGCTGATAAAGCTTAGTGTTATTAACTTGAGTTAATTGGTTTCGTTTAAGACATGGCACGACTATCGAGCTCGCTGGGATCCAATGGATTATGACAACATCACTCATCTGTCACTGGGCCAAAGTGAAATATGGACGCCCAAGATTCTTCTGACTAACGAGTGAGTTCAAACCAACCCGGCGAAAAAATAATTCCACTTTTTATAAGTATTCTTTTACGTAACTTTGCGTGTATCAAATCCCTCTAATTGAAAGGGTAAATCAAGGGGAACAACTAAACTAGATTTATTTCAAGTTTGACAATGGCTGTATTGGCACTTTGTTGTATTTTTATGTCATGGTAAAAATGGATGGTACATATATGTGTGTAGTAGAAAGTTTAAGAGTGAACAAGGCCAGTAGTTCTGTAGATATACTTTAAAATGGACCTTTAATGTGACGTCACAATGAAATTTCTGGTCTGGTGACGTTATCAACCTTTCTCCTCTCAACCTGTTTTTAGCATGAAGCCGGGCTGATTATATACATCAAATATACAGAAATTGTAGCAAACTTCGACACACATCAACTGATCTTTCATGTTAAAAACTAACCTGCCCCATATAAGGTGCTTTATCATTTGTTGGCATCAATGGTAATTGTTTTGTAAAGTACAACCTGGCTGGAGACTAACTTTCAAATGATAAGACACATCCGGTTGTGTGTTCCAAATGTCATTTTTTTCACGACCGAAGTCTACTTAGAGCAAAATTAGTATATTTCAATAATTATCTTCAACATCGCACGAAGTCAGATCCCAAAGATTTTTTTTTTTGCATGACCACTGATATCAATTTTCCTTTTAATAAGGGCAGACCAGACGCGAAATAATATAAGCGTCACATCGGACAAGCGTCACACTCAGTCTAACAGTGACCATTGGACATGGTAAAAAGAGTAAAATTGTGGCTATCCACGTTCAACTGGATACAGCAGGTGTTGTAATAAGTGCACAAGAGTGAATATTGCTTGACATATTTTCCTTTTATCATTACAAAACAGACCCACAGATTTACTTTCCAATATCATCATAATTGCGTCTGCCACTAAAACAGGGAGTAAAGAGTTCACAGGTCACCTCACAATTATTGTTTGTGGGGTCTGAATTCATAACCTGACTGTCAACTAATTTGTGCAGTACTATTTTTTGGCACTTTGCTTGCCCACGGTCACGAAAAAAATGGCGTTTTGACGAATAATATGTCCCCACATCTAAAAATCTGTTCATGTCACAAAGAGTGGGTTTTAGACTTGGGTCATGAAAGTAATTACAATTGTGTACATCTGATTAATATCCATACGTAGGCTATGGTTTTACAAAGGTCATGACCTCTCGTAAAGGTCACCAACGGTTGAATATGAAAAGACCTACATATAAAAGTCTCTTTATAGCATGAACACCGTTCATTTAGACATGAATCGTGAAAAAAGATGGTGTTTAAAGAATATATCTTACAGGTAGCTATAAACAAGTTTACAAAGGTCATTGACCTCTTAAAGGTCACTAGAGGTCAGATATGAATTGTTCCCACATTATCTTTATTGTATGAAGACCCTATCGCATAAACTTCGGTCATATGAAAGTGACGTTTTGAAGAATGGAAGTTATGAATAGAGTATGTAAAGTTCGTTGACGTCTAAAGGTCAACAGAGGTCGAATATCAAATGCCTCTATATCTGAAAGTTGTTGTCATGGCATGAAGATCCAACATACGAAGTTTCATGCTTTTGTCCCAATCTGCACAATCCTTTAGCATATTGGGGCTATGCCGCACCACTAATTACTCGCCAATGATCTTGCGGATTGTTCACAGGGCAAGTGACAGGATTCATAACCCCGTTCCGGAGAGCGTCTTTTTAGCCCTGTTGAAGTGGGATGGAACGGTCGAACTACAAGGTATGCATAAACTTTCAAGCATCGGACTGAGTATAGGCCTACAGGCTTGCGACCATATGGACTTTGTCAAGAAGTCACAAAAAGGTCTTTTCCCGCTATTGTCTTCCCCTACAAGTCTTGAAATCAAGGCTCGATAATCCGAAGGTTCATTTATCCGAAGTTTCCGTAGTCCGAATTTAGAATGAGGTTAATTAGTCGTATAGTTCATTAGAAGGTTCAATAGTCCAAAAAGAAAACAAGGTTCAATGGAGTACCAAGTGAATACGTCTCGCGCACAAAAACCTAATCGCCTTTTCGAACCTAATCGTCTTTTCGGAGTATCGAATCTTGAGATTAATTAACCAAATTCTAGTTTTGGACTATCGAATCTTCGGAATAATGAACCTTCGGATTATCGAACCTAATTCGGACTATCAAACCTTCGGACTATCAAACCTTCGGACTAACGACCTACGGACTAACTTTCCTCTGGACTACGGACTTACGACCCTTGGGACTATCAAACGAACCTTTGGAATATCGAGCCTTTGGACTAACGACCTTCAGACTACCGACCATTTGGCCTAATGAACCGTTGGACAAACCTGTCATTAAAATCGGGCTATCATTGAAATAAACACATGTGCACCGTACAAAGCCGATTTCACTATTTGCCTTTCGGCCCATTAATGCGCATGCGTGCATGGATTTGAAATTGTAAGGAATATCGTCTCTCTAGTACTACTTATTGTCGGTTACGATATGCCGACATGCACGATTTAACCGACGAAAACGAAGCGAGGTCCGCCCGATCCGCTCCATTCACATGTACCCTCTCACCAGCAAAGAAAACAGAGTTGGGGGTAACCGACCGACGCCATCTTGCCTGAATGCAAGTTTGCCGCGACGCGCGGCCGTACCATGAACCACTGCGGGTACATAGTACAAATCCTATGGTGTACATGCGTCACACACAAGGAACGGTGCGCGTCAAATGTCCCGCCCATGGGACGTCGTTGCTAGGTAAAAGGGCGCCCTCTTTCGTTTGCACATGAAGCCCATAGTCCCAAGGTCCTTTAGTCCGAGGGTTCGATAGTGCACATGCATAAATTTTCCCTAAGAGGGGTTCGTTGGTGCGAACGTGAAATAGGGTTCGTTAATCCGATCATTTGATGCAATTGTCCAAAGTTTCATGAGTCCGAAGGTCCGACAATCCAATGGTTCGTTTATCCCAAGGTCCGATAGCCCGAAGTGCCTGACTTACGAAACGTGTAGTCCATTTGGACTATCGAACCTTGTCATCTTTTTGGACTATCAAACCTTATTGTCGATTTGGACTATCGCACCCTATTGTTTTATCGGACAACTGAATCTTCGGATTGATTACCGTTATTACATTTTCGGACTAATGAACCCTTCGAACTATTGAATTACCTTCGGACTAGCGAACCTTCTGACAAATGACCCTTCAGACTAAAGAACCTTTGGACCATCGAATTTTCGGACGATCGGGCTGTCACCAACGAAACAACCCCTCAACCCTTTAACGGACGCCTTTATCGGTTCTTGCAGGTCCAGTCATCCACAAGACGCATTGCGCGATGCAACTGTCGGAGTTTCCCTTCGATCGGCAGACCTGCGGGCTGATTTTTGCGTCCCAGAACATGCCGAGGGACATGATGACTCTTCGTCCCGGCGCCAGCCAAATGAATAATCTGGAGATAACCAGTCAGTGGCGACCCCTCGGACTGGTCGGCAATGTGGTTGAATACGTCTTTGATTCACAAACCTACCACGCATTACTTGTGGAATTCACCGCCGAGCGGCTGCCGCACTACAACCTGATGAATGTGGCCTTGCCGTCTGGTGCCATGGCGTTCATCTCGCTCTGGGTGTTCTGGCTACCCCCAGAGAGTGGAGAAAAAGTGAGTAGTCTAAACACAACATCCTAATAATCGTCATCGTTTTCACAGAGGGACAGGCATGTAAAAACTGACAATTTGTTTCCGTTTTGACGAGCTTCCGTAAAGAAAAACATTTCTAAATTACATCATTGCATTACGATCATTGCATTTTGCGTTTTCACGAAGAGACGCGAACATGTCCAGATGCGGTTATCTTGTCTAATTAATCAGCAAACTGTGCATATGAAATAGACCGTGGCTTTGGCCACGTCTATTACATGGACAAGCCTGACCCCTAAACACGAACAAAATGTATGGCACGGAAAGTCATAAAAGGAGGTCAACAGAGATTTCCGTTTCATCTTTCAATGCGTTCGATTACTTCCCCCGCGCTTACTTAAGTATCCCATAAGGCCATGCAACGTCCGGCGGGCGCCTCATCAGGCCGTGTCCGAAACGGCTTCCACGGAGCATAGAGCTACAAACCCGATGTAGCTCTATGCACGGAGCTAGCTACGGCTACGAATTTTTGTCAGTGCGTCCCCGCGTATTTTCACTGGGCCTGGACGTGCTCTGATCTAGACAGTTAATTGATTCGGATGCAGCCTGGGAAAAATGTTGCAACCTGACGCCACTTCCGCGATCGTGTACAAAGTCTATGGAGAGTCAAGAATTTTTTTCCTAACAAAATTGAAAATATTTCTCAGTCCCAGATTCATGTCCTATCGTCATTTTTGCAATGAATGACCTTTATTAAGATGATATATGAAGAAAAAAAGTGACGTCAGGTTGCAACATTCCCACCCCCGGAAAAGCAAAAAAGGAAGGAAAAAAAGAGAGAAGAAAAAAGAAAAGAGGCGAGAAGTCTTATTGGTGTAAATTTAAGAGGGGGATGTCCCTACCCCCCTCGAAATCTGATAAATCTAGAATATGTTGAGAAAAACAGTATTTGTTTTGGGAATACATGTTTCCCCCCTCTAGAAGAAAATCCTGGCGACACCCATGTTTCCAGCTCTTGCACGAAACTTTACCCGAAACCGTTCGTTTATTTAGCTCCACTGCGCATGTATGTCATTACGCGAGGAGCCAGGCGCAAGTAAGCTTGGGGGGGGGGGGGGTAATCGAACGCACTGTTTGTTACATTCTCAACTGCGCGCGCGTAAACGTATATGCGTGCCACCTTCCCTATGAAGTGCGTAAATGAAGGGGGAAATGAATTTTCAATTTCAAGAACGGACGGGCATCTTCACTAATAAATTTTGGTTCACTAACCATTGTGTGATTCTAATTACTGGGTTCACGTAAACGTGTATACCTTTCAAAGAATCATGTGAAGGTTTCCTGACTGTTGTTTCCATGTGGTACTTTGTGCAGTTTTCAAACACGAGAAACTTCTGTTGCCATTATCGGGAACACTAACCCTTTGTTTCCTTCAAAATCCACATGCCCGTCCCTTCGCTATTAATCTCATGCAACTCTTGATCTCCTGCTTCCTAGTTGATCTGTCCTGAGCGAGACGCTTAGCTTGTACAGACCTCATATTCCAGTACATTATTCGATGTTGTCAAACCATTGTTTCTTTTTGGCGACCCCTCCTTCATTAGTCTAAGTCTCACCTGTTATTCTCGAAGCCAAATCCCGGAGAACGTTTCACATCTCCTGACTTGCACATTTAAGCAAGCCGCGCGCCACCAAAATTGAGTCGATTTTACTAAATCGGGACGTCATTTCATTCCTAAATCAAGACTAAATGGTTTGATTTGTCAATTTGAATGCAGTGCTTTTTAATACAACAACGGGCCCCATATTGGGTAACATGATACAAAGCGCGTGACACGTTTTGTTTTAAATCCATTGTCTATAACGCGCAACGGGTGAACAACCGAAGACTCGATATAGAAAGCGCGCCCTGATTGGTCAAAGTCTAGGAGGTCAAGAGACGGTGTCTGCCTAATTAATAAACAGATCTGTTCACGCGAAATAGCTGATGATATAACACAAATAGGTGTGCTTCCTTTTCATCGCCTCTCCTTGAAGCTGCCCCTCCACTCCTAGTTCCTGCAGGATACTTCTTGTTTGTCTTTTTCTGCTTCCATTCGATGCCAAGCATTCACATCCAAATTTCAGCATTTTTTCTGATTGCCGAATTTAAAATGAAAACTGATTATTGCATTTTAATTCTCCCATGCAAATGTAACCCCATCGTACAAAATAGCTGACAGCAATTTATATTTCTCATAATACCGTCTGATTGTTTTTATTGTTCAGGTGTCTATGGCCGTGTCCATGTTGCTTGGCCAGGCCGTCTTCTGGCTGGTCGTGATCGAGTCTCTGCCGATCACGGGAGGCCAAGGCACGCCGATCCTACTGAGCAGCATCGAAAGTAACTTCCTCGTGGGCGGCCTGGCAATCCTGCTCAGCGTGGTCACGGTCAGAGTGCACCACCGGCCCGGGCCACTTCGTGGGTGCCTGCTCCGGACGGTGTTCCTCCGCGTTCTGCCGGTGGTTGTCTGCGTTACGCGGGCAGGTACCGGGAGAGAGGTCGACGTGAGCGACTCGCCAACTCCGACAGACGCCAAGTATACTCACGCGGTGGACGACGACGCGGTGGAGACGCTGGCCCTACCAGACGGTAAAGCTCAGGGCGTTCCGACAAGCACGGGAGATAGATTTTCAGTCAAGGTTGCCGAATTGGAATCCCGCGAAGATCCCCATAGTTGCTTCAAAGCCATCAAAGACGAAAATGTAAGTTTTATACGATCCATAAAACAAACTAGATGTGGCCTTTCGTTTGCCACTACACTGGCATACATGCATTAACCTTCGGGGTTGGGAAAATTGTCAGCCTTACTCAATGTCCCTACTTTGTTATGAAGCAAGCTGTGTAAACTCCTTCATGGTGTGCCGGCTGCAGTTGGGAATTGGAATCGTATATTGCGATTGAGCTATGAGACTGGGGTCTTGTCACGATGACTGATAGCCAGCCAAATGATTTCAATCCCCAACCGCACCTCTTTGTTCGCAACAGAAACGATTGTACACCGCATACATACAGCACTGAAATTCATTGAGGCAAGGAATTTGGTCACTAGTAAACAAAAATGTTGTGATCAATTGACCATTGTGCAGTGAGGCGTGAGGGAAATTGAATAACACTCATAGGGGTTGAGGCCAAGGTTTAGGAGTATCTGCATAATTAAAGATTATCAAATTTTACTTCGTGGTTTTGCTACTGATTTTTTTTTTTTAGACGGACCTTTGGGGGAGGACATACTGTAGTGCCGGTTATATAATGCATTATACCATTTTTTTCGACAGGATTCAGAAGACATGAAGCTGGTTGCAGCAGTGCTGGATCGATTCTTCTTCGTGATTGCGGCGGTTTTGTTCATTAACGGCAATCTTCCGCTGATTGTAAAATGGATGTCCATGTAAAAGCAAAATGGCTGTGACCTATATAGGAAGTTGCATCATAGTCTGAGATGATATCCCATGTTATGGGATATCCATGATTGAAAAGCATTCAATTCAATTCAATTTAATTCAATTCAAATGTATTAGCACCTGAAGCTGAATTACAAGTGTTTATATTGGTAATCATAGGTCAGTTTCGTATAAAACGTAAAGTTACACATTTTTTTGGTAAAATAAAAATATTTTCTGAAACCATTCCAAATTCTTTTTAAACTTTAAAACGTGTTGGTCTCGGGGCCAGCTAAAAGGCATGCTAAGAATCCATTTTTGTAGGAGTCTGGGTACCAGACGCATCCCATTTCCGTTTTTTTAGAGGTGAAGTAAAAACATATATATAGTATTACACATAAATAATGCACAAAATATCAGGCTCTCTCCTCCATGAGTTATGTTAGACATAATGTCAAGGATCTACATGGTGTTGGTAATACTTTTTTGTAAAAAGAAAACAAAAAACACCTATGTGAATCAAATATTTGAACACTGGTGGTGGTCACGGCGGTCCGTGGGGAGTTTTAGAGTTTTTAGTTCATTAGAGACACACTCTTGGAAAAAATGGTGCGGTTAACATTGTTAACTTATTTCTTATGATGGGACTGCGGTTTGGCCGAAGTCAATTGAGCGTGATCGGCTGACTGATAAGGTTTACGTACAAAACCCTGAGCCAACGAGGTTTTTGTATAGAAAGCTGCCGGACCACATTTTGCGAGATTGTGTCCGTAATGTTCAATATAGAACATTGTGGACTGAAATGGGAGAGGATTTGATCTCGTATAGAGTAAGAATTGGTGGCTTTAATCTGATGATTCAACACTCGAGGAAACCCAACATGAAGTCTGCTGCGGACAATACAAGACTCGCATACACATTTCGCGGGCTACTGCCACTCCTTAGTCTGGTGCTGTTTCTTTGTTCGGCCAACTACACTGGCAATGCACAGTACGAGTCAAGTACCCAACATGAACAAAGATGGTTTCCCCCACGGACCGCCGGACTGCCCAATGTCGACCGCCAGGTTTTGCAAACTGTAAGTGAAAGCTCAGCTACGAATGACCATAATCCCATAATGTCACGGCCCAAGATTAATTTGGTGCAAGAAACGACACCGCCGGAAACGTTTGATGAACTTCACGTTAGCAAAAACTTCGTCGGCAACAAAGCAGCGCATTGTTATTATGGAATAACCTGGTGTTTTCCATCCTGTGATAGCAGGGTTCAAAAGAATCACCTGCAAATCCAGTGTGTACTCTGTGATGGAGTATTTCATATGAAATGTGCAGGCATGGCTCTTCGTACGTACAAACTCTACAAAACTTAACACACAGTCGCCATTTACCTACGCTACATGTGCTCTGCCTCGACTGAATGACGCCTTTTTTTGATATGTTTAACGTTAACATTAATTCCACGAGGCAGTCTCAAAACTCGTACATACCAGACGTACCTTTGCAACCTGATGGTGACAACCCTACTGGTTGTGTCTTCAGTGCTCTGCCAACAAAGAATATCCGAATTGCAAGCTGGAATCTCAACAGAATATCTAACAAATAAATAATGAAAGGTTTGCGGAAACACCATGTGCGAATAATTTCTCAACTAAGAGAATGTTTCTGAAAAGAACCAGAGGTATAAACTCGACGTTCCGGTCAGTATGCTCTGACCGTCTTCAGGAGAGTGCCTAAACTCTAAGAAATTGAAAACTTAAGTAGCAAAAGGCGAAATCAATGAAGTGTGAAGTTGCATCCTGTGAGGATGCCAAGTAGACGGGATCCTAGAGCAAGCTTGGTGCCCACTGAAGTGGAACAGTAGGGTTGCAGTGTCAGTACTGACACTGGGACCTGGTTCAAATCCTATCTAGATGATCGAATTCAGTGTGTATCATATGAAGGCAATTTGTCAACACCACAGCCTATTACACTAGGAGTGCCACAAGGATCGATCCTAGGCCCATTGATGTTTATTTTATATATGAATGACATCATCTTAGAAATCCAAGGTACTGAAATGGAAATGTATGCTGATGACTCGACTCTATATACAAGTGATGAGGACGTAAAAGTTATCAATCTTGGCTTGTCAAATCAAATGGATCCTATTTCTGAATGGATAAATGATAATCGGATGGTTCTTAACATAAACAAAACTGAACGCATGTTGATTGGGTCTCGTACAAAGATTTCCTGTGCAATTGATCGGTTTTCAGTTAGAGGGCCCAATCACGACATAACTCATGTGAAGTCGCACATGCTATTTGGTGTTCATTTTGATAATTGTCTTTCCTGGGAACTCATGTTGAATACGTGTGTTCTAAACTTAGAGGCCGTCTTCATATATTAAACAAAATCAAATACCTTCTTCCCTTGAAAGCCAGAAAAGATTATTATTCAGGGGTAGTGCAACCACTCATTGATTATGGATGTATTGTCTGGGGCAACTGTAGGAAAGAGTTATTACTTAAAATCCATGTAATAATGAAGCGATTTGCCAGAAGTATACTTGATGTTAGAGATGTTAAGAAAAGTTGTACAGTCCACCTTTTCGAAGAACTTGGATGGTTACCAATTGATATGCGAATTAACTATTTTGAAACATTGCAAATGTTCAACATTGTCCATGATAATGCTCCAACTTATCTAAAGGACATGTTCACACCGGTTAATTCAGTTCACTCTTATAATACAAGAAGCAATCAACCCAACTTTTTTATACACCTAGATATGTGTCAACTACTGTCGCATTCTTATGGTTTTCCTCTACCCCATGTTTTTTATTATCTCTATTTTACCTATTGTATTGGATGTGAACTTTAAATGTATTTTTATAGTTTTGATTTTTCTAGTGGCACTATCATTGTGAATTGATCTGTGTTTTGTATGTATTTATAGTCTTAATTAAGTCATGTAATTTTAATTATGTTTTAATTGATAGATGGCCCATTGAAAATCATCTATCAGGTGACATAGCTACCATCTGTAAATAAAGCTATTCCTACAAATGTACCATTAGGGAGACACGTTAGCGTAGAAAATTCGGTAGTAGGGAGACACGGGCTTAATAGGGAGACACCTAGGTGTCTCCCTATTGGCGCAGCCCCCCTTTAGAGACAAAATGTTGCTGTCGCAATTGGGTAATATTTGTTGCTCGTGGTCTAATTAGTAAAAGTACCGAAATTCGTGGAAAAAGGACCAGGGAATATCGGGTTAGGGCACATTTCAGTCGGACAATTTGTGTGTACAAGTCTATGGGAAAGTCTCCCTATTACCCCATTGCCGGTATTATTATTATTACAAATGGCTAACCTGTTTGTCATTTATTGCCGTAATGCAAGCAAATATTCATTTTCTTCCACAGCAAAGTCCGTACATTACTAAAGCAGACATTAATACAGGCATATGCTCTAATACTTCCTGAATATGATCTCAGGCTTTTAAGCAGAGCTTGGTGAAAAGAGTTGGAGAATGGTGGAATCAATTCATCACCGACACCACGAAGAAACACTGCACGTGTTAAACCATATTTGTTTTTCGGTTTTCAGTTTTTTTTTACATTTGTAAACATTATTCATCAAGGACTACCATTGTAGGAAGTTTCAAAGCTTCAAGTAGGCCATCAGCCTCGGTCCAAAATTTTGGCAACCGGTATCAAATCGTCATATCGATTTTTGGCAAGGTATACACCTCCACAGTTGGAAAATAATGATGTGATAGCATTGCAGCGGTGGCAGCTTTTTGGGTGTTATCACCCTTTTTGTTCAAGATGTCCATCAAAATGCTTGTTACCACTCTAGGGTGGTATACCTTGCGCATGCGCACTATAATCATTTATGCCCTGATTTGATACTGACCAAACCCCCAAGCTGATGGCCTAAAGAGCTTTACTTTAATAAATACCCTAATTATCCATGGCGAAAGTGACAATTTTTGTTTTCACGAAGCAACACTCAAGTTCAATTTACCATTGTAATGCATGGCGCGCACTCTACTCAAATGCGAGCAAAAACGATTTCACGAAGTAACGCTATCCTTGTTTGAGCGCGCGCGCTGACCCCCGTTTCCACGAAGTAACACTCTCATAGTGGTTTAATACATTGGAGCGTGCTACTTCGTGAAAACGAAAATTTACAGTTTCGCAGATTTTATTTTGGTTTTACGAACCAACACTCAACTTTTTTCTGTTATTTTTCTTGTTGTTTTAATATTTAAACGGGTCAAAAACAGCAAATTTAATAACATCAATACATAAAGTGTCCTCAACGAGAGAAACCCAACAAAAGATACTATGCAGTTTTGACGCAAAGTGTTGTTTCAGAAGGCGTTCAACTTTAGATGCCGTTTTCTCCGATTGCTAGTTTTTACTGGTATGTACGTGAGTGTTACTTCGTGGTGTCGGTGACGAATTTTTTTTAAGGAAAATGTAGGAAACCTTGAATGCCTACGATTGCTAATTTTACTTTTGGCAAAATACCCTTATTACTGGAATTAGTTGAATATGTTGGACACAAACTTTATTTAGTGCTTCAAAAAAAATAAAAGAATTATTCAGTTTAATTCGTTTATCTAGAAACTCAGTACATGTATGTATTTTTAATATTAAACTTTCAAATTGCAGTTTGCCAAAAGCCGTTAGAATGCACATGGCCCTTAGACGCAAGTCTGACAATTCAAGCTTGCTATGGAATACTCTTTTAATAGTCATTTCAAATCAATCTGCACAATTATTGTGCCAATATCCTTCTTGAAACTGATAGAAAGGGCAGCATTTTGGTTGAACTTTTTTTTTTTTTACAAAAGAGTATTACCCACACCATGTAGATCCCTCTCAAACTATGTCCAACATATCTGATGGAAGCTAGTCTACACTATATTTCAACTTAATCCTGACATAATATCGCGGCTGAAAATCTACTGTTTGGTAAACTTGGAATTCAACTTGTGCACGTTAAACCTCAAGCAGGTGATTTTGAGAAGAATTGTCTTGTTATTGACCACTCAGTTGTTCTGGCTGATAATAATTGGTCCGATTTCGAAAAATGTGTTCAATTTTAACTTGAAAAGAATAAAATGAGTACCCCATTTCCCTGCAGCTCAATGATGTATGAATTGAGCAAAGGGTTGCAGAAGCATGCAACAGAAGGGTAATGTGTGGGATTCCTTTGACGTTGAAGTTTTTTGTGTGTAATTTGTTCATTGTGATAATTAATTCAATAACATTGTAGCATTATCATAGTCATTCCCATCGATACTATCGTTTAATTGTCATCACCATTTTATCACACAATCACCAACATCATTATACCCATCTCCTTGATGAAAATGATATGTTTGAATGATCATTCTCCTTCCATGTAAGATGTCATGAATTGTCCTAAGCAAACTGTTACTGTTGTTGTTAAATATCTTGTTGCACAAAATGAAATGCTTTAGCTCAAACTTTTTACAATAACAATGCTATGGGAAAAAAAATATTCAAGTTGAGCTACATCGTTTTGCCACAAAATGCAATGAATTTCAATAATTAAATGCAAGACACATCGTTTTCCCATACAAATGTAGTGGCATTAAATCATGTAACTTATGGATAAAACGCTTTGCCATATATATATATTGTGTAATGGAAATTACATGTAATTTGAAATACACTATTTTGCCATTAACATATTAAATATCTAGCAACAGAATGTAAGTGCAAGAAATTCATCATATTTAAAAAAAAAAAAAAAATCCACGGATTTTTGGCTCAAAGTTTGCAAGAAATAAGACAAAAATGATCTCTTTGGTCATGCATTATTCCATCTCCAACACAGTCATGTGTCCAAAAAGGCACGTGTCCAAACTTAAAACTCAATTTTCTCAAAATGTAATTTTCGAGTTTGGCTGTCGGCGTGCCGCTTAAGGTGCATGAACATCAAAGAGAACCAAACTGTGTAGTTTTCAACGCTCCAACCTCCAGGGCCTATGTTTGTGCAAACGTGTTATCTCTTAAGGTATTTGACCATAACAATGCCCGAGAATTCACCTGCTAAAGCTTCCTCCGTTGCCATGATACCCCCTTCGTACACCCACTCCCATCCTGGGTACAGTGTGTTGCCTGGCCAACTGACAAATATCGGACCACCATTGACCGACGTGTTGGTGTGGAGCAGGTTTGCTCCCAGTGTGTGTAGCGGTTTCTTGAAGATGGACCAAGATTGCTTGAGGTAGAATTCTTTGAAATGAGGATAGATGCTTGTGAACAATTCTTTGTATCCCTGCTCTCTCGCCAGATGCTCTGCTCTCAATGTGCCCAGTTCACCGATGCCTTTCCTTCTCTTTTCAACATCAATGCAGAAGCCCTCGGCGTAAACCGCCCCCTGTCGGTTTGTGACTGGAAGAAATCGGACATGACCCACCAGAGTTTCTTCGTCGCGTTTGTCGTCTGGGTGCTCGACCAGTCCGTACGAGCAAGGTGCATGGTTCAGTTCATGCTTGGCAAGTTCCGGTAGAAGGTCTGCCTTGCATTTCGGATACTCGGCTCTCAAGATGGAAACACAACTGGGGATGAGGTAACGAATGGAGTGCAGAGGTTTCCATGTGTACAAAAGCGCCATTTGACGTCACGCTCCAACCGGATTACAACTCTGCAAAACATTTTTAAAACAGATTTTTAAAACATTCACTGCAGTGTGTCAGAGTTGTTTTGGACTTTTTTTGGGGGGGGGGGAGGAGGGGGGGGGAACGAGGGGAGGGGGGGAGAGAAAATATCCAACGCATTAAGTGGATGCAATGGTTTTGATGGCAGTACCTAAAATAAATTATGCTTCATGCATATTTTTTTTAATGACTTGGATAAAGTACCAAGTAATAAAGTACCAAAAATATGTATCACCATGCTAACCATGGTTATGTTGTGGTTACCATGGCATATCGACATTAAAGCCATGGTATTAAAAACACGTGGTTTTTACATGTGAAACGATGATACCATGGTTGCATTATGGTGTTGACAGTAAAATGATAGTTACCGTGGTTTTACCAAATGGTTTGACAGTGGTTTATACTTATGAAATCATGTAATTATTGCGAATCGGTGGTTATCATGCTTTCTAGATTGCCAAATTTATGGCATTTTTGGCAAACATGAACAATTGAACATGCGGGTTAGGTTGTTGAATGACTGAATCAAAAAACCGCCAGACAACATCATGTCAATGATCCTTAAATTTCAAGCAGCAGCGTATCCAGCTTTTGATGTCGGTGGGGGTTGGGGGGGGGGGGGGCAAACGCACATCCGCGCCGAAACGTAGACATGTTGTTTTTCTCCGGACACTTGACCTCCGTAAAAAAAAAAAGCCGGGGGGGGGGGGCTGGTATACCCATCTTCCAAATGGGGGCGCTCTTCAAAACTGATCATTATTATGCATACTACATATTTTAAGGGCATTTTCACGGCGCATTGCAATGGTTGTTGAGCGGGTTTATTTGGTGGGATTGATGTCAGAAGAACTCTATAAACATTTACTTAAATCATTGCTGACAAAACATGCTGGCTTTTTGAATTGGCTGGTCATTGGCCCGTTTAAGGCTTGCACAGCAGCGCAGAACTGGGCCAGTACATGATACCAGAATCAAACCTGTACTGGACCGATTCTTGGCCAATACATTATGCCAGAATCGGTCCAGCACTGAGACGGCATTGATCCGGAACTGGTGGGTCAGCATAGTTCCAGAAAAGGGCCAGTTCTGTTTGACATGTACTGGCCCGGTGCTGGCCTTTTTAATTGGCTGGCCATTGAGCGTTTAAGGCTTGCACAGCAGCGCGGAACTGGGCCAGTACATGATACCATAATAAAACCAGTACTGGACCGATTTCGGGCCAATTAATACTTAATGCCACAATCGGTCCAGTACTGAGACGGCATTGATCCTGAACTGGGCCAGCATTGTTCCAGAAATGGGCCAGTACCACATCATGATCATATATAGCCACAATTTTTGTGGCCGTGTGAATAGAAATAAAAATGTACATGGACATGATAGGGTTGAAATAAAGTACGAGTGTGAAAGAATTTACTTCAACATGTTACTTCAAAATGTTTAGTGAGTATGTTTTAGTTGCTTTGCACGAAATGGCAGTTGGTTGCTTCAGATACACACATACCTAGCTCGTCTGAAAAATTTGAAGTACTCCGGAAAGATCCACAATCTTCTGACTCTGTATGCGGCTCGCCTTTCCCCAACTAGAGTGTACGAATTGCTGAATGGGAATTTATGCTAATCAGTCCATAACCACGATCAGCTGAAAGCACTCTTGATGACCTGGTGGATAAAGTACACGTAGGCCTCTGCATAGAGCATGTGCTAGTGCTAGCTAGGATGGCTCCTTGCAGTATTCCAGAACACCAACAGCTGCACGTACATTAGTGATTTTTTACTTTGGCAGACTGTGTTATATAATGTTATATAATCACTATATGCATCGTGCAGTCGCCTCGATCTGTGCGTGTGAAGTACTGACCTTGAACAGTAGCCTACATTTGGTGTACCGGTGTCAACGTTGTCCTAGCAAAAGATCGCTGAACGCTTCAGTAATTTAGAATTTCATGCTACTTCGCTTCGCTCATACGCATGAAAAGCAGTTTAGTATTAATGGACCGCCATTAAGGAAACGGAGGCAATTGGATTTTTTTTTTCTTCTTTTTTTTCTAATTATTTATTTGCAGCATGGGTTAATGGTGGGATCACAAACACCGAGTTTTCACTGATAGTCTTACTTCTTCTTCTTCTTCTTCTTCTTTTTTTTTTGATGCCACTTATGATAGACATGAAAATTATGTGTTAACGTCCAAAATAAAGAAATACTGGCCATCAATTTGAATTATACATTTAACTGTTCATCTTAATTGTCCATATTGGATCATCTGATTCACCTGAACCACTCATCACCAACTAGATTCGCTGATGTTTAGCAAACTCCTGGTCATATGCCCCTTTTTTTTCCTTTTTTTTCTTTTTTATTATACACTTTACCGGTCATCTGACCGTATCGGATCATCTGATCTTTACTTCGTTAATGCAGAATTTCAATGAATTTAAATTCATTACTGCTGACTCTCTTATCATAAATAATAAATATAACTCATATACTGGACCGGTCACTTGGCCGTTTCGGATCATCTGATCCTTACCTCGTTAATGCAGAATTTCAATGAATTTAAATTAAGTATTGCTGACTAATCATAAATAATAAATATAACTCATATACTGGACCAGTCACCTGACCGTTTCGGATCATCTGATCCTTATACTTGTTAATACAAACATCTCACCTAGTTTTAATAAGTACTGCTGACTATCAATAGAAAATTAACGCAAATTCTTACACACAACCAAAAAGGAAAACCCCCAAAGAACGTATAGAATATTGTATACATTGTATAACCAGAAGTGACATATTCGACAATTACTCTTTGAAAAGTGTCCGTGACAGGTCTAATCTTTCTTTGGTATCCCATTTGACGTATCTGTTTTTAGCCTCGGAGGTCTTCCAGCGACCATGTTGCATTATCAATGCTTCAGGAACATGTTTGTTAGCTAGGTGGGAAACCCCGCCTGATCTTAGACTGTGAAGACGTACCATATACATTTGGATCGCTTACACCTATGCGCCTAAGGGCTTCAAAAAACAACTCTCTACACCTAGTGTAACTCAAGGGTCTATCAGCACCAATTTTGTACAAATATTTGTCTTGACCCAAATTAATACCAGCAGCTTCTAAAAATCGACGTAAAATCGCAACAGGTGAGTAGTTGTCCAATCTGTCGCAAAGAAAGGCAGTACTACCGTCCCTGAAAACGTCGGTTTTGGATTTTGGTATAAAAATTGAAATACCCTTTTTGTTAGCCGGTTCAGATAAGTGGTTAGCTTTCACACCGGCCATCTCGTTATGTCGAAAAAGGAGAGCGTATTTGAGAGAGACGTAGCAGGCTGATCTAAGCTCTAAAAGCGAGGCCTCAGGACCTGCGAAAAGGTCGATAATTGCTTTAACCTGACTAAGTGAAATTGGCTGTTTTTGTACAGGCGGATGATGTAGTTCACGCCTACCGCTAACGATGACATGTTGAATGATGGGTGAATCAAGTGGGTTACTTTTTATATTAACCAATGAATGCAACCATCTTAATAAGGCAGCGGTAGAAATTAAAACACTATCAGAGTCTGAGTGTGATTTTGTGTGCGACAGATAAATTACTAACACTTCTTTAGATATGGGGAGCATCAGAGGAATACCTTGTGACTCTAACCAGGACAAAAATTGACGACATTTGTAGAAATAAGCTTTAACCGTACCCTCAGAGTTAGCAAAAATTGCGTCTAGCAGGATTAATCAACTAAAATGAGAAAGGATTAAATTGAAGCAAAATCTAAATATGCTGCTGCTACGGAGCCATCGAAATCACTTGAACCAAGTAGACTGTTTTGATTTCTGCCATGATGTTTAAGTGCGAGATAACCTACTTCAGTAATGAGGTCCTTGACCCAGGTTCGGTAATGGGACCACAGTAAAGGCCAGAAGGGTTGCGAAGGCCACCAAGGAAAAATTAGGACACCTTTACATTGGCAATGATGCATGTGTTTAAGGGTGGATGACACTAAAACTACAGGGGGGACCAACAAGGCATTTTCACCATGCCAGTTCTGAGCAAAAGCGTCTACGCCCAACGAGCCTGGGTTCCAAAAACGGGAATAAAATCGAGGCAGCTTAGCATTGTAAAAGGTAGCGAACCAATCAATTGTGAAAGGACCCCAACGAGCGTTAATGACGGAGAAAAATTCATCAGAAAGAGACAAGTCATCTGTGTCAAGAATTCTGCTGACAAAATCGGCTTGATCATTTTTTGCCCTGGGTATCCACTCAACGTCAATGCGAATTGAATTACGGAGACAAATATTGAAATTATCAACGGCATTATAGTTTAGATTTGGTTTCATGCCCGGATTCGATAATATTTGCTGCACACTGACTATCGGTAAGTAATTTCAACTCGGAGGCATGAATCAAAGGTAAAAAGGACAACAGAGCAAAACGAACATCAAGCTCGCGCCAAGTGGAACTTTGTACTGATTCTGTATCGTTCCACAATTTAAGTAGAGAGCTATTAAAATTCCGCATGACCTCCAATGAGTGACTAATGCCTTAAGAGCTTTGGTGAATATGTAAGGGGCAGATGTGAGCCCGAAGGGCAAGACAGTAAATTCGAAATATCTGTCCACCCCGTTCAAATGCGCCAAGAAAATCCTAAATAACGTTGAGAAGCAGGGGCGATGTCGAAATGATGATAACCCGATTTCAAGTCAAAAGATATCGTGAGAGCATTAGCCGAGAGAAATTGAATAGCCGACTTCCAATCATCTAATTTTAAGTGCCTTTTTGGTATGAATTTGTTGAGGGCACTAAGATCAAGAATAAGTCTATTTTTCTTGGAAGCCGAACATGCGACAGATAAGGGGCTGGTTACATAGGAAGGGTGAGACTTTTCTGAAATTCGAGATGAAGCCAGCAAATCTAAAATGGAATTTGTTACAAATTTGGCCTCGCGTAAGGCCGACTTATTATTCCGGAGAAACATCGGAGGGGGTTCCTCTATGAAAGGGATTACATAACCATACTCGATGATAGACAAAATCATGTCAGGGGAACCGATATCACGCCAGAATTGAACATGTTGTTTTAATCTCCCTTTGACTGGTAAATTATCAGACTGTAAGGGTGCCATTTGGGGGAAACAATGTACCTTAAGAACGTCATCAAACTTCTTGCAAACATTGTCTCTACTGTGCCTTGGGCAATGTTGAGGCGTTGCTAGTACTGGCGGTATCAAATGGCCCTGTCGAGGCGGTTCCATGCTGGATTGCTTGAGGCAATGCTCTCTGCATCTGGTAAGATGGGGCGTGCCATGACGAGAATGGTGGTCTGTACCCGGTGAAAGGGACGGCTGGAGTGGATCTTGCCTGGGTCCGGAAGCGCGAGTAGGTGTTGGATCCAAAGGAGTAGGGGCAATTTCTGGACCAATGGCCCGACATTCCGCAGGAGAAGCACGACTCAAAAGATGACATGCCTGAAAACAAAATTCGGAACGAGAGAGAAAAGGAGCGGCCACAAAAAAATACCAAAAATTAAAAATATTTATATGTACATTATACACTTTGCCCGGGGATCGGGAGGACGGGAGGGCACCAAGTCAAGTTGGAATTGCGCAAGGATGCAGGATATACGTACTCGGTGTGTGTGAGTTCACCTGAATGGGGAGGCTGAGAAAGCGCATCATTTATATAGAGATACGCTTGAATAACTTGGACAATCAAACACATGGTATGGGTGCGGTCTTAAGCCTACAAGGAATGCAGATTATGCAAATTAGAGCCCGCATATGGCGGGCCAAACAAACAAAACTAAATGTTCATGCTACTTCGCTTCGCTCATACGCATGAAAAGCAGTTTAGTATTAATGGACCGCCATAATAAGGAAACGGAGGCAATTGGATTTGTTTGTAATTATTTATTTGCAGCATGGGTTAATGGTGGGATCACAAACAGCTAATGAAATTTGACAAAGTATTAGGTGGGTGTGGCTGCCTCGGGGCTCACTTGTGCCCAGAGGAGTTTCGGACTACTAGTTCTCAAACTTATGAGAAAAGGACTCCCAAGTGACTGGTATTCACAATCAATCCAGGAACCACACACAAAACACAATGAAGCCACTTGACAACATGGTGGTGATTGCTGATAGTAGATTGAGTAGATTGAGATAACAATCTGCAATTTAATAAAGCAGAAAAAACACTAATAAGAAAACTATAATAAATGTACATGGAAAAGTCTAATCTATTAAACATGGCAAGTTGAGTCCAAAAATGTGAAGTCTGATTTGTCAAATCTAAACACTATTTGCAGTTCAATCTGTTTTTGCTGAATGAATAATCAACTGTAAAATCTCAGAAAATCCACTGAATTCTGTCTCTAAACTTATTAAAAGTAACTCATAAAATCAAGGAAAATGCTTCTTACCAAAATGGGGTCTTTCAAGGTCCACAAAGAGTGAATAAAGTGATGAAACTTGAAGAACTAAATCGCAATGAGTATGAAAACACTTGTCTCTGAAATCACATGGTCAGTAAATATGGCTGCCCATTGTTTATGTGGCAAGATTATGTGGTACTTGTACCCACACAGGGTCTCTGTATGCACATAGGAAGTGCACAAGGTCACTCTGGTGGTGGGAAGGAGGCTACTTAATGTAACACATAAGTGGGCTCTTTCACTATTATAAGGTGAACATTAACTGTAGGCTCTTTCACTAAATATGCAGTAATACTCTAAAAAATGGAATTCTAAATTTAAACTATGAAAAACTTGTTCAGAAAATTAATAAACTTAATGCAAACTCACTGCACAGCTGCTGCAGTGACATGGCTCCTCTAACTGCATCTCGCAGTTAACAAACTAAAATCAAACCTGAACTTCAAAGATTAATGTCCATGAAAATGTTCCTTCATCTTGGTGGTCATCTTGTCTCGCACGCACTAGCTCCTCAGATGCAGACTAGTGTTGGCTCGTTAAATTGGTATCTACCTACTAATGAGTAACAAGAACAGTTAAAAAGTAAAGTTCATAAACTAAATAGATTGTCGTCAGCAGTGGGTCTCTTCTGGCAGGATCTTCAGTTTGGCTCTTCGGTGGGGACTTCTCTGGTCTCTTGAGCTTCAGGCTTCTCTGCGGGTACCAACAGGACAAGCTTGTGTACTGGTCTGTCAAGGAGTGATGGAGAGTGTTGCCGTCTGCCAAGGTTGTCTCGTGTGCCATCGGCCATCAAGAGCTTCACTGACCTGACTCTTCCGTCATTGCTCGGGTAGGTCTCCACTACGCGCCCCAGTGGCCACTGGTTCCTGGTCTGCTCTCCTTCCTTGGAGATCACGACATCACCTACTTGTAGATCTCTTACTGGATTGACCCACTTTTTGCGCTCTTGAAGATGGTGCAGAAACTCTTTTCTCCATCTCACCCAAAACTCATTGGTCAAGAACTGGACACGTCTCCACCATTTGCGGGCATAGACATCTTCCTTCTGGAACTTTCCAGGCGGAGGCAGAACCACCTTGGGTTTCATGGTGAACAGATGATTGGGTGTCAATGGCTCTGGTGCGTCTGATGAGCAGAGATAGTCTGTCGTGAGAGGTCGTGAATTGATGATGCCTTCTACCTCAGTCATGAAGGTTCTGAAACATTCATCATCCAGTTGTGTCGTGGTTTTAAGAAGAAGACCCTCTAGTGCACGGCGTACTGTACCTATCTGTCTCTCCCACACGCCTCCCATGTGACTGGCATGCGGTGTGTTCAGCTTGAAGGGAATCCAGTCACAGTTGCTCTCTAACAGGTACTGGTGGACTCTGTCCTGCTCCATCTCAGCTAGCGCTTCTCTCAGCTCACTCCGAGCACCGATGAATGTTGTACCTTGGTCTGAACGCAGTTGACGTACAGGTCCTCTCCTGCTCTGGAATCTTGTAAGGGCATTGATGAAAGAACTTGCCGTTAAGGAATTTGCTGTCTCTAGATGAACACCTCTAGACGCCATACATGTGAACATGACACCATAACGTTTCACTTGACTCCTACGCTCTTTCACCAAAAATGGACCGAAGTAGTCCACAGCGCAATAGGAAAATGGGGGCGCTGGCTCTAGTCGATCTACGGGTAGGTCAGACATCTTCTGTCGCTGCAGCGATCCACGCAGTTTGCGGCAGGTCACACATCTTGAGATGTAGTTGGACACAGCTGATGAACCACCAATTACCCAGTACCCTCTCTGACGTAGCTCGTTGTGTGTCATTCCTCTGCCCATGTGATTCACCTTCTCATGAATATGGCGAATCAACAACTGGGTGACATGACCTTTGTAAGGGAGAACAGCTGGATGCTTAGCTTCAATTGGAAGATCAGATCTGGCAATACGGCCACCCACTCGGATGATGCCATCGACATCTAGAAAGGGATCTAGCCGGTACAGACAACTCGTCTTCTTCAGGGAGTCATTTCTCACCCTTGCAGTCTTTCCATCGGTGACTTGCCCGATTACACCAAGTTCTTGTAGGGCCTGTAACTCGACACTGAAATGTTCATACTGAACATTTTTGATGATTTCCATCTCTCCATTCTGTAGTTCTGCCACAGTGATTGCTTGCTTCGCAGGAGTGGAACAAACTTTCCCTTCACAAGGTTTCTTCACTACTCTGTTCCTCAACTTTGTCTTCAACCTCAGACAAAGAGCGACTGCCCTGCAAGCTCTATTCCAGGATGAAAAGCAATCAAGTCGGCTCACTTCGAAGTGATGATGTCGTGCGTTGTTCTCAGCTGTTGTCACGAAAGCTGAGACTCTTTTCACATCTGGGTCTGATTCACTCAGTGGTGCAACTACGGCTGGCTGGGGTTGAAAGGGGCCATCCTTCTGCAAGAAATCTGGACCGGATAACCAGCAGGACTTCTCTATAAGTTCCTTTGCTGTCAGACCACGTGATGCTTCGTCAGCAGGATTTTCTTTGGTGTCTACGTACATCCATCTCTCTGGGTTAGTCAGACTTCTGATTTGCTGCACTCTGTTAGCAACATAGACATGGAATCGTCTTGCTTCATTGTTTATGTATCCCAAAACAATCTTGCTGTCTGTCCAGTAATATTCGTGGAACATCTCGTAACATAGCTCTCGTCGCAGGAATTCACTCACAGTTGCTGAGACAGTTGCTGCTGCAAGTTCTAGCCGGGGGATGGTGACGAGCTTCAGAGGGGCCACTCTGGACTTACCGACTACAAAGGAACAATGTGCCTTATTGTTCTCATCGACTAGTCGCAGGTAGGAACACTGACCATAACCATTTTGGCTTGCATCGGAAAAATGATGCAATTCAACTGCTGTCACAGTTCCAAAATCCTTGGGCTTAAAACATCGCTGGATTTGGATCTTCTCTAAGCCGAGAACCTCTAAACGCCATTTCTCCCACTCAGGTTGTAGCATCTCTGGCACTGGACTGTCCCAATCAAGTTTGTCGCGACACATCTGCTGCAAAATTCTCTTCCCTCTGAGGGTTACTGGAGCCACATAGCCATTTGGGTCATAGATCGAACTTACAGTTGAAAGTATGCCTCGTCTTGTGAATGGTCTATCTTTCAACTCAATATGGAACTGAAAGGTGTCACTCTCGACACACCAAGTGACGCCCAGGGCTCTTTCCATTGGTAGTACATCAACCTTCAGATCTAGTTCCCTTGTACCACTGGCTCGCTCTTCTGCTGGGAATTTTTCCAACAGCTCTCTTTTGTTGGAGATGATTTTGTGCAGTTTCAACCCAGCTTTTCCACACAGATTCTGACTGGCTTTGATCAGTAATGATGCTCTTTCCACTGTGGGTAGTGACTTCAGTCCATCGTCTACGTAGAAATCATTACGAATGAAGTTTGCTGCCTCTGCTCCAAACTCATCCTCTCCGTCATCTGCTGCTCTCTTCAGCCCGAAGTTGGCACAGCCTGGTGAGCTAGCGGCCCCAAACACGTGAACTTTCATTCTGTATTCGACCACTGGCTTCTCTGGATCACCATTTTCCCACCATAGGAATCGCAGCAGGTCACGGTACTTCTCTTCTACATAGAACTGATGGAACATGCTCTTCACGTCAACCATAAAGGCCACTTCCTCTTTCCTGAATCTACACAGAACACCGAGAAGACCATTAGTCAAGTCAGGACCTTGAAGGAGATGGTCGTTGAGTGAAACGCCTCCATATTTGGCTGAACAGTCGAACACCACTCTTATCTTGTCCGGCTTTTTGGGGTGATAGACTCCGGTGTGCGGCACATAGTTTACCTTTCCCTCATCAACTTCCAGTTGGTCTAGGGGGACTCTCTCTGCACACTTTGGGGTAACATCTTTCATGAACTCCCTGTAGTCTTCACGAAACTTCACATTCTTTCGGAATCTGGCGGACAGCTGATTCCATCTCTTGACTGCAAGTTGGCGGTTGTTAGGCAGGGTCGCAGCGTCAGACTTCAGTGGTAGTGGCATTTCGTAGTGGCCATCGGATGCTTTCTTTATTCCTTTTTCCATCACGCTCAGGAACTTCTCGTCTTCTACTGAGTATGGCTTCCCCTGATGATTCTCGACAAAGTCGGATTCCAACACCTTGAGAACTTTCTCTGGGTTTAAGACTTCTTTCACCCTCGTACCATAGACGAAGTGTTGGTAGCTTTGTGGTTCAGCAGCAACCACTTTGTTGCATACTGCAGGTTGGTCGTCGGTTTGTCGTGCAGCCTTGCAAACGTTCCCAATTACTCCCCAGCCTAGTAGTGACCTCTGGCCGTAGGGGTCATCCTCTCCACCGGCGATGATTTCTCTGGGTCTAACCACTCTTGGGCAATTGCTTCCGATGAGAAGAGAGATGTGCAGGGTTGGATCATAGGGCATGAGTTTATCTGCCAGAGACTTCAGGTGGGGCCAATGATGCACGACAGCAGGCTTCGGTATCTGAGACTTCTTGGCTGGAATGCAATCCCTCTCGAAGCAGACTGGAAGTTTAACAGTGTGTTCTCTACTGACATCAAGCACTTCAAGCCCGGATATTCGACTGCTGCTGATGCGGACGTTTTGTTCTTGCATTGTACTCAGCAACAACTCCGTTTCTGGTCCTTGCAGGTTCATCCTTTCACACAAACTCTTTGACACGAAGCAACTGTTGGATTGTTCGTCCAAGATGGCATATTCGAGGAACTCCCTCGCTGGATCACTCTCACTACGAACCAACACTGGTATAATCATGGAGTGGTCACCTTCTCCTTCTTGGTCTGGTTGGGAACACACTTGAATACAGTTGGACATTCCCTCATCTCGTTTGGGGTGCACAGCAATGACTTCTTTGGGTGGGGATGAATTGTTTGGGACTTTGTCAGCTGGTTGTTTACTTGCCGCTGCTGACTGGGGGTTACTTGAAGCAGTTTCTTCTGGCCGTCTCTGTTGGAAGTTGCGATGGAGACAGGTCAAATGGGCACCAGCGCAGATCCGACAAACCTTTTTGTCGTTACACTCTCTCACTTGATGATCACTGGAACGTGCACAGCCCATGCACAGTCTCTTCTTGAAGAAGAAATCCTTTCGCTCAGCGAAAGGCTTGCGCAGAAAGCGCTCACAGTCGTCCAGGAGATGACGCTTATTGCAGAAGAGACAACTCTTGTCACTGGACAACTGCACTCTGCTTGTTGGTTCACCTCGACTCGTACTAGTCGCAAAAACACTGGTGTTCTTTTTCGGAGCACTTCCTGCATTTGAACGTTGTTTGTCCTGACTTCGAACCACGCTCTGCAACTCAGGAATGTTTGCCCTGTCTGCTGCAATCTTCACAAGTTTGACAAACTCGCTGAATGGGGGGAAGGAATCCTGACCACGGATCTGTCTCCAATAGTCAATCTTGTCCCGCCACTTTGTCTCAAGGTTGAATGGCAGTTTCTCGACTAGACAAGCATTCTCACTGGCGTAGTCCAGCACTCCAAGGCTTGCTGTGGTTGCTCGTGCTGCCTCTACTTTCCCCAGAAAATCAGAGAAATCTCTCAAGCCTGCTGCATCCCTCGGCGTTAACCTCGGCCACTGACGGAGTTTGCTTATGAAAGCAGTGCTCACTACACTACTGTTTCCGTACCTTTCGTTCAATACTTTTCTTGCCTGCGTGTAGGCCTCTTCAGTGCCGATGAGCATGTAGTGCTCCACTAGGTGCTTTGGTTTCCCCGTCACATATTGATTGAGGTAGTTAAGCTTGGTGTCGGCGTCAAGGGGTTGGCTGTCGATAAGGGAATTGAAGGAGTTCCGCCACAGGGGGTACTGGAGTGGATCACCGTTGAAATGGGGGACGGCTATCTTTGGTAGCTGGCTAGATGCAACAAGGCGTTTGTTTACATCATGCTGTTGTCTACTGGACTCGGCTAACTGTGTAATGCACTTTTCAAGTGCCGACGACATCGTCATCCGTCCTCCTTCACTTTGGTGATGAGAATGATGTACACTGGACTGTTCATCAGATCTGTTCTGATTGGCTGATGTAACCATGGCAACTGGTTGGAGTGACGCATTGTCCACATATGCGCCTTCACTTTGGGGCACAGATGGACACAATGGAGGGGGGTGATCACTTTGATGCGAGTTGAGGAATCTCTGCATATGTTCATGTTTGTCGGCGGGGATGCCGGACAGCTCTGATGATATTGAACTGTTGTCATCCCGCTCCAGCGATGAGTACACCTGCATCACAGCTCGGGTTTCGGCCAATTTCCTCTCTATCTCAAGTTGTTCTAACTTTTTGTCTCTCTCGATCTTCATTTCCTCCACTTTCTTTGCCGCCTCCAACTCCAGGAGTTTCAGCTGTTTTTCTTTCTCTGCATAGTCTAGCTGGACCTGCAGAGCAGCCGCTGTTTTCGCTAGTTCCAGCTTTTTTTCCTGATGCCGTGCATATGATGATGTAACGGACACGGCATGACTGGCTCGACTGGAACTCTTACTTGACTTGTAAGACGACACATGACCAGCGTGACTTGCTGCTCGACCGGCGTTACTCTTCTTTGACTTGTCAAACTTATGACTAGAAGACGACTGGATTGGTAACGACATGACGTGGGTTTATTCACTCGGCATGCTCTGGAACGACTGGACTTTGGTTGTGACTTTGATTGTCCTTTGATTGTTATTGTGGCTGCCTCGGGGCTCACTTGTGCCCAGAGGAGTTTCGGACTACTAGTTCTCAAACTTATGAGAAAAGGACTCCCAAGTGACTGGTATTCACAATCAATCCAGGAACCACACACAAAACACAATGAAGCCACTTGACAACATGGTGGTGATTGCTGATAGTAGATTGAGTAGATTGAGATAACAATCTGCAATTTAATAAAGCAGAAAAAACACTAATAAGAAAACTATAATAAATGTACATGGAAAAGTCTAATCTATTAAACATGGCAAGTTGAGTCCAAAAATGTGAAGTCTGATTTGTCAAATCTAAACACTATTTGCAGTTCAATCTGTTTTTGCTGAATGAATAATCAACTGTAAAATCTCAGAAAATCCACTGAATTCTGTCTCTAAACTTATTAAAAGTAACTCATAAAATCAAGGAAAATGCTTCTTACCAAAATGGGGTCTTTCAAGGTCCACAAAGAGTGAATAAAGTGATGAAACTTGAAGAACTAAATCGCAATGAGTATGAAAACACTTGTCTCTGAAATCACATGGTCAGTAAATATGGCTGCCCATTGTTTATGTGGCAAGATTATGTGGTACTTGTACCCACACAGGGTCTCTGTATGCACATAGGAAGTGCACAAGGTCACTCTGGTGGTGGGAAGGAGGCTACTTAATGTAACACATAAGTGGGCTCTTTCACTATTATAAGGTGAACATTAACTGTAGGCTCTTTCACTAAATATGCAGTAATACTCTAAAAAATGGAATTCTAAATTTAAACTATGAAAAACTTGTTCAGAAAATTAATAAACTTAATGCAAACTCACTGCACAGCTGCTGCAGTGACAGTGGGGAATGGAACAACTCATTTACAATACCTCGAAAAAGATAACGATCAGGATGACCGAATGCTGGCTTCGAATTCGAACCACTCTGCTGGAGTTGCGGAGATTCATTTCGTCGACGCTTACGGGTCTCGATGTCCTTCAGGGCGGCTTCTTTGGCGGCCAAAACCTTCTTGTGTTGCTCGGCGGACAACTTATCGGCGTTTCTTTTGTCCAGGTGGAAAATAGTTCCCCAGCCAGCCTTGCTGGAGTCGGCAATTCGAATTGTTTGCTTTCTGTCGGCGAGGAGGTCTAGACCTTCTTGGAGAGCTTGTAAAACTGCTCCGGTGTTATTTTCGGTCGTTAGAGCGGATTGAATTTTGTATAATAGTAGAATCTCCAACTGTCCACAAAACTCAAACTGAGCGATGTTGCCTGGTCTAGAAAGATCATTTGCCTCCAACTTGAGTTTCAGTTCTTTCAAAGCAGTGGAGTCATCTTCTGGCTGGGAAATCGCGCTGAACTTAGCGTCGAAATAATCTTTGAATTTGTCAAACATTTCAGTTTGAACATTGTCACTTGAAGTAGACATAATTTAGAGCAAGGCAAGTATAGACCTAGTCAGTTCAGAAAAGCACCAAGTCAAGTTGGAATTGCGCAAGGATGCAGGATATACGTACTCGGTGTGTGTGTGAGTTCACCTGAATGGGGAGGCTGAGAAAGCGCTTCATTTATATAGAGATACGCTAGAATAATTTGGACAATCAAACACATGGTATGGGTGCGGTCTTAAGCCTACAAGGAATGCAGATTATGCAAATTAGAGCCCGCATATGGCGGGCCAAACAAACAAAACTAAATATTGTCACTTTCGCCATGGATAATAAGGGTATTTATTAAAGTAAAGCTCTAAATTAGGCCATCAGCTTGGGGGTTTGGTCAGTATCAGGTCAGGGCATAAATGATTATAGTGCGCATGCGCAAGGTATACCACCCTAGAGTGGTAACAAGCATTTTGATGGACATTTTGAAAAAAAAAGGTGATAACACCCAAAAAGCTGCCACCGCTGCAATGCTATCACATAATTTTTTTCCAACTTTGGAGGTGTATACCTTGCCAAAAATTGATATGACGATTTGATACCGGTTGCCAAAATGTTGGACCGAGGCTAATGGCCTACTTGAAGCTTTGAAACTTCCTGCAATGGTAGGCCTTGATGAATAATGTTTACAAATGTAAAAAAAACAGAAAACCGAAAAAAAAACAAATATGGTTTAACACGTGCAGTGTTTCTTCGTGGTGTCGGGATGAATTGATTCCACCATTCGCCAACTCTTTTCACCAAGCTCTGCTTAAAAGCCTGAGGTCATATTCAGGAAGTATTAGACCATATGCCTGTATAAAGGTCTGCTTTAGTAATGTACGGACTTTGCTGTGGAAGAAAATGAATATTTGCTTGTGTGACAGCTCATTTACATATTTCTCCTGCGCAGCGCCCTCGCTTGACCCTTAAGGTAAAGCTCACACTTATCCTTTGTCTTGAGTGAGTCATTCCACCACTAGCTCTGGTACTGTTAACACCACACACAGTGTCATACTTCCTTCTATTATGTTCTTAGTTAATGCCTCAAGATTTTGTGGATAACTCGACTTGGGTAAGAATTCATTTATATTGTTTTAATAGTTGTTCTTATTGCTAAAGTTCCTAAGTTTCTTTTTATTGAGACTTTGTGAACACTTTTTGATTAATTCCGAAGTTAGCTTGAGTATTCTTAAACTTTACTCCAATTATTGAATAAGTGCATTCATTGATGGTCTTTAGGAAGCCCAGATTCACTGTGTTGTTGTATCTATTATTACATATTTAGGAAAGATCACCCTTTTGATGACTTTCTGTGTTAAGAGATATAATCTATTTCCATGGATTTGAAGGATTTAGATTTCCCTTACTTTGATTACATGAACATTTATATCCACTTTATTTCTTGATCACATTTAGTTAACTTCTTGGGTACACACAGTTCAAGAATAGATTTCCTTATTTTACAATATATTTTCCTCATCATCTATTTTCCACTGTTTAGGTACGTATTCTTAGATTGATACTTTTAGTGTATAAATTCATAGGTCCTTTGTCCTGTGTAGATGTCCATAGTGCAGTGTAGTATAGCCACTGTTTAGACCCTTAATCTCCTAAGTTGCTGCATATATAATGAGGTGCACACAGTTTCTTGGAAGGCACCATATACCTTAGTACAGGGAGGCAGGAAGTCTGCCAAGTGTGTTTATTACCCTGCAGAGATTTCTTTTGTTCAGTGTTTATTGGAGCGTGTGACCTAAGATACCAGTAGTGTCTTATTAGACTGGCACACTAGTCCTTAAGTTTATGTGATCCAGCATATGCAGTGTACTCATATTCCTCTTTTTTTTTATAATGAATTCAGTGTGCCATCTGCACATTTGTTTAGCAGATATTTAGTTATGTTATTTCTCCATAGTCCTTTTTTTATGATATTCATTCATTTTTCCTAAGTTAGTTTCTTTATGGATACTTCGGTTATATTTTATGATGAGTGGACTGATTTAAGTCTATGGTTTGCTGAGTCCATAGTCATATATTAAGAGGTCTTTGCACATTTGCTTTAGTTATTTCCTATTTTGTCTTTGCAAGTTAAAGCATTCACATGCCTTGTATTAATTCATTTTGGAATTTAACTTGACTTTACTGTTAGAGGCAAATTGTGTTATCGAGTTCGATTTATCTCTTTTGATTGCATTAGATTCTCTGAGGATTATTATTGTTCTTTTTATAATTTACTTTGCTGGATTGGTATTTCTTAAAGCATTGTATTTATATGGAAATTCTATTTTGTATCTTTTCAGAGTTTTTGTATTGCTTCACTTAAAAGATGCAGTTCACCATTAAATGAACCAGACACAGTAATGTACACCATCCTTGTCGTGTCACATTTTCCGGTGTCACACTTGCATTACGGCATAAATGACAAAAAGGTTAAGCATTTGTAAAAACTTCAAAATTGACAAAGGCAGCATGATTCGATTCCAAGTAAACTTCACTAATGAAATTGTATACTTGAAAACCCATATTGTTTAGACATAATCCAGACCATTTATCAAAAACCTAGTCATGCCTTTTGAATACAGGCTAAGCTTGTAAGCTAAAATGATGTAGCATGTGTGTAACGAAGCGTAGGCCTAATCCTAACGCAAGTTTGACGTCTTCATTATACACAACGGAATCCAATCTGATCAAGGCTAGGCCCAACAAAATGCAACAAATGGCCTCTGATTGCTGTTGATAATTGATCTTCTTGTATCTACTGATTACTTTTGTGTTCTAAAGGTGTATATATATGACTTATGCGTGTACCATATACATGTAGTATACTGAGCGGTACAAGAAATCTACCATCCCATCACTGGCCAGAATTTTAAAATAATAAGCGTTATATGCCTCTGTAATCCACGTCTTTTTTAATGATAATTTTAAATAATGTGTCACTCCAGTTTTATTGTAATCTGTCAATAATTAGTATAGCCTCTGTTATCCACTCTCATTTTGTAATGATAATTTTAGATAGTTTTACACTCCGATTTTAATCAGCAATGTCTTGTCTATTAGCAAGTCTTTAGAAGTCTGTTAATGATAATGAATAATTTCTCCCGTTATGATTTGTACCTTTCAATTTACAATTTAAAGATGTATTGATTGTATTTTAAGTAGTTTTTAACTAAAATATCCATTGTTAATTTGAATGTTTTCAGCCTGTGGGCTGCTTTTAATTCAAATAAATAAACCATAATAATAATAATAATATTGGCCATGTTTAACTGCACCAGCACAGCAGGGGCTTTCAAATTCTCCCAAAAGGCATTAGAAAAAAGCATGACAAAGTGCTGCATAAAGCGGACATGTCGTTGCTGGATATGCAGCTTTGCTGGACGGGGCACATCGTGCGCATTGAGGAGCACAGACTGCTGAAGATCCTCCTCTCCGTGGCTAGCTCCTGGAATCACCCAGACGGCCAGGCTGCAGGTCATTGCCGCGCTACAAGGACGTCATCAAACATCACCTCAATACCGCCAACATTTCGCCATAAAGCGTCCTAACCTAGGTGGCGAGCTGCGACAAAACAAATCGCGTCAAAACTGCAACGGCGGATACTGCAGAGCGTCAAAATGCCGAAGCCAGACGGCGACGTCACGACGTTACAACGGCGCAACCGATCAACAGTACTCCTAGACTTGACCCAAGTCGGGATTAATATGCCGCACCGTTGATCATGGTCCGTGTTCCGTGTACATGGGGTATGTGCGCCGTCCCCGATCATCAGTATCGCGCCCTCATGCGCCGCCCCCGCTAAAAACACAGCACCAATTCGTCGCGCCGTGAGTTATGAAAACACGATATTTTTAAGTTATAAATGTTACAATCTGGACCGCCAATATGCAGAGTCACATTTCATATTAATATGAGCAAACTGAAAAGGAAAGGAGTATATTTGAGAAGGCGTGGACGTTATAATTACAATGATTCATTTTACAATTAATTACAAAGCACTCATACAGTATTTATTATTAAATAAATTAAATTAGACCCCTCTCGCGACCTCTTTCTCCTGAGGAGATAGTTGCGGCTATTAAGTACCTTAAGAAAGGCAAAGCTTCTGGAAATTACAACATCCATACAGAGGTCCTGAGGCACATGAGTACCGAATCCGTGAGCTGGTTCCGGCTGTTCTTCACTACTTGCATCCAAACCAGCACCATCCCTGCAAGATGAAAAACAGAAAAAGACATCGCGATCCTCAAGCCGAAGAAGTCACCCGATGACCCAAAGAGTTACCGACCAATCTCACTCCTGTCATATCTCTACAAACTGCTCGCAAGAGTTCTTCTCACCAGAATCAACGATACTGTAAAAGAGAAGCTCCCTCACACCCAAGCTGGTTTCCGGAAAGGTCGCTTCACAACTGATCAAGTTACTAACCTGGTCAACGATATTGCGGCCGCTTTCCAGAGGAAGGAGAGGCTTGCCACGGTGTTTATTGATATCAAGCCAGCATACGACACTGTTTGGCACAGGGGCTTATACCTTAAGCTCTTGAAGACCCTTCTTGATGTCAAACTTGCGAAATTTCTAATGGTGCTTATACAAGATCGCCTATTCGTCTTTGAGACATCCAATATTCAACGAAGCAAGAAGATGAGAATTATAAATCGTATCCCCAAGCCTCTGTACTTGCCCCTGTGGTGTTCCATATCCACACAGCTGATATGCCATCCAGCTAATGCTCGCAGTACACCTACGCTGATGACTGTTTTGAGTTTTGCTGACGAGTTATTTGAAACCATCAAAGCGCCACTCAAGACGGACCTCAACAGCCTCAGCCACTACTTGCACCAATGGCACCTCAAACTCAGCCTCCCAATGACTGTTTGCCCTGTTTTCCATTTGGCCAACCGCTGTGCTAAGAGGACATTAGACATCAGCTTGAATGGTGCCACGCTACACCAAAGTACCTTGGCGTTACACTGGACAGAAGTCTCATGTTCTCCCACAACAACAAAGCCGTTGTATCTGGAGACCGAAGCCAGAGTCAACCTCTAAGAGACTTGCCGGCACTGGATGGGGAGCCTCCTTCACTACCTTGCGCACCTCTCCACTGGCCGTGACGTACTCTACCTCTGAATACGCTGCCCCACCTGGTCCCACAAACCCACAGCACCCATACCAAGTCGATCGATGTGGTTCTCAACTCAGCGATGAGACTAGTTAGCGGCACTCTCACATCGACACCTTTGAAATGCCTACCTGTTCTCTCCGGCATCGCACCTGCTGTGCTTCGCCGAAACTTCCTGACGATGAAACTCACCCGTAACTGTAGTGACCCCGATCGACAGCCTTGTCTCCGAACATGTAGACCCAGCCAGCCTGAGGCTTCTTCGAAAGCACTTCTCCACAGAAGCTCATTAACTTGCCTCATCTCAGCCGTCCCATCCTGACTTGGTCCAACCTGAACCGACTCAGATCAGACGCTGGCCGCACCCAGCAATACCTTTGTAGGATTGGTGCCTCTATTCTGATCTGTGTACTTGCGGAACCACCCAGAACACTAACCACATCATCCAGCAATGCAGTATCTTTGGACCCCTGATGATGCTGCTGGCTTGATGACCCTTGATGACCTGTTTGTCTTTGGACCTCCCAGTTTAGATGGTGTCCACACGAACGAACGAATGAAGGGAGTCATAAAATTGGGTCCTGTTCGCAATGGGTTGCGGGGCAGACTTGTTCGTTAGAATCTTAATCCACTTTTGTTCATAAGCGGCAAAAGAGACAAATTTTGCAACTTTGCGATTCTACCTTGCTTGGGTATATAGCTGTCATGTATTTTATCAAGACCTTAGATAAATGGGATAGTTCTGTCTTCAACTCAGTAAATAAGGCAAACAGAAACGGATTTGATTTTAACTTCAAGAGCAAATGAACAATTTTTATTTTAAAGAAAAATCAAATGAAAAAAAAGAAGAGGAATATTTACTAGAATATCTACAAAATAATCAAATTAAATCAGAGGATCTTCCACAGTTCAAGAACTCAACTTAAGAACGATCCAAAAAATTCAGGGTTTCTCTGAAGATGACAAAATGTAACAGAATTTAACTGAGGCAAATCAAAAGAAACTTCTCAAATCAAGCAAATTAAATCGCAGGTTGAATTAGCACGGGTTAACTTCGCAGGTTAACTTAGCAAGGCATACCAATTAGCAACTTTGCAACATCACAAAAAATATGAAAGCTCAATCCAACAAAATAATTCAGCAATTTCTCAACTGAGTCTTAACAAATATTAATGGAAACTTTGCTGATCCAGCCAAGAAGCGAAAACAGAAATATCAATCCAAATCTTCAATAAAGCCAACTTAGTTGTTACATTAAAAGAAACAAAGTATAAAGAAAACAAAGCAACCGGTCTTTAAGTTTTACATATACAAATAACAATTTAAATCAAAGCCAATTTGTGGGTTTTAGATTCTAGATTATGTTTAAGATACTTGCAACCTTCCCCAGATACAGAATTCGGCTCAGGTGGGTGACACTACCGTTGACTGGCTGGTCGTCTCTGCCTCGATCAGTGTGTTGATCAGTCACCGCCTGGCTACAGTGGGGTCCCTGCCATTTACAGATTGGTCTCACGGGATCGGAATAGGGTTGGTTGTTCCTACCAGGGGAAATGGTTATCTATGAAATGTAAAATAACCCAAAACACTACAAATCTCGGTTCTTTTGGAATTACACATGAAAATACAAATTGATCTCAAATGGTGTCTAAATAAGTGGATTCAGATTATAACCAAACACGATCAGTTTTTGATTCTTGGGGAGTGTACTCTTGGGGTCAGGCTAGTGTACTCTTGGGGTCAGGCTACTGCCGTGTGACGTCTGGTCATACAGATGAAGAGAGTGTCAGGCAAGTACTTTTACATGTACTTCTGACTATACGTGGCTCTCGGCCTCAACAGTTTAGGTTGGCCGGCCCGGTACCTGCGATGGCTGCTTCCACTCTCCTGCTGGTTACGGGTGGCGACGGCCCAACAAAACTTCACACAATAACTCTTGGACACCTCTCTCTCCCAAACGCACAAATGGTTCTCCCTCACACTCTACCTTACGCTCCAAATTTAAACCACGTTCAAAAAATGTGCTTTCACCTGGACTTCCGAGAACATATAAAATACTACAAACAAATTACCATGGAAAGGGACAGTAAATTACCATAACTATTTTCTACGAGGGGCGTCTTCCTACTGGTACCGTCGAATAAAAGAGATAATTGGACTGTGCTACCAATCAGGTGCGTATTCCGTGAAGACATCGCGTTTAAAAACTGTTGCGTAAGTATCTAGATCGAAGTGTGATAAACTGCGTGAATTCGGGGTCGAGTGAAGGATAAAGGAAACAGACACACAACGTACAAAAAACTCTGGCATAAAAACGAGACATAAAGAAATGGAAATAATTTGACAAGGAATTTGGTCACCTAGTGTCCAAATATGTTGACCATTGTGCAGTGAGGCTTGAGGGGAATTAAATAACACCCATAATTGTTTAGGCCAAGGATTAGAAGTATCAGCACAATGAAAGATTTTCAAATTTTACTTCGTGGTTTTGCTACTGAAAAAACAATATTTAGACAGACACTTTTTTTTTGGGGGGGGACATACTGTAGTGCCGGTTATATAGTGCATTAAACCATTATTTTTCGACAGGATTCAGAAGACATGAAGCTGGTTGCAGCGGTGTTGGATCGCTTCTTCTTCGTGATTGCGGCGGGTTTGTTCATTAACGGCAACCTTCCTCTGATTGTAAAATGCATGTCCCTGTAAAAACAAAATGGCTGCGACCTACATAGGAAGTTGTCATCATAGTCTGAGATAACGTATCAAGTTCAGTTCACAGCGTTTAGAGTTGTCATTCTCTGGGAACTGTCTAAACAAAAATGAAGTGCAACATTTTAATGAGGTGTTTCAGATTGTAGATTTTATTTTATTTTATTTTATTTTTTTTTTTTTTTTTTGGGGGGGAGGGGGTGAAACAGATAATTTATGTGAGTGATCCCACGTTTGTTTGCTCCCTGCGCGGATTAACCACTGGAATAAACATGTTGACTTTACAAAAAAAATCCGTCGCGTCGTCATTAGGTGGGCAACCAACATAATGTAGAAACCTGTTGATTTTGAGTGGTTTTAACATGTATCAATTGTCATTTAGTGTAACTCCAACTTTGGAAACAAGACATTTCTTTTGTATATAGGAATACCCTTTTAAAGCCTATCAGACCGAGAAGGGGCGGGGCACGATAATGTGCCCTCCCCGGTGAAGCATTTGTACAGTCCCACTTCGGTCGATCAGTATGAACTATTCATTCTTTATCTGGGGGACAATAATTGTATCCCAAACAATGTTGTGGGATGTCCATAATTTAAAAATATTGGTAATCATTGGTCAGTTTTCTTATCAAATGTAGATACACACATTTTTTGGTAAAAACAATATTTTCTAAAATCATTCAAATATTCACTTTAGACTTAACTTTACGGTCTAATTTTAAACTACAATGCATGCCAGGAATCCAATTTTTTTTTTCAGGGACGAAGTAAAAACAAAATGATCGGGGGGCACATAAATTATGCTATAAAATCAGGCTCTCTCGAGGAAGTTCAAAATTATAAAAATACTAATACTTACAATAATAATGTAAGAATACCAAGTGCGCCCTCAGTTGTTGTACGTCCAACAGTTTTGCAAGTGATTTGCATATTTTCATGAAACACTTTGATGTGCATAGTGTGACGTCTGTGTACCCCGCGCACAGGCAACTGGTATCAAGTGGGTTTTTTTCTCCTGTGGGCTTCGAACAGAGAAGACAAATATATCATTGTCTCTGAAAATTCTCTCGACTTTCATTTGTAGGGAGCATACCCCTGAGGTGTATCACTGTGGGAGGGTGATCCCATAGCAACGTCCCAGTGAGTATACTGCTCTGTCATATAATCATATTGTGAGAGAAATTGTTGCACTCTCGTGACATACATGATTCATTGCATTGTACTATTGTCTGATAGTCTGTAGCGTATATGTATGTACACAGCCATGCAACCATGTGTTGAACTAAGACACACATTGTATTTACTGCGTCATCTTTCTATTGTGCATACTACGGGCTTGAATATTTGAAGTGCTGTGTCTTGTACTAGTCGTAGGAATACAAATAAATTAAGTAACACTTAATGAAATTTATGGATGAATGGCCATTGTATTGAGTGCATCACAACCCAACAGACGTGAGCTGAACATGGCACTTACAAAAAGGAATCATAGGGAACAAAGCAGAAAGCTGAATCACATTTAGTACGTGGTTGAATAACCATGGACATGCGACTCATAAGTACAATGGCAAATACACTGACGCATGTACAACCAAGACGTACAGGGAGACATGTGAAGCTTTGGTAATAGTTGTGCCAGCAAAAAGACAGCAGCCATTTTTTGCTTGGCAGATTCAAATTTTCACCGCCGCCGCCCCACCGTCCACTAGCAAAAGCTGTTATAATCAGCATCACCCGGGATAAGCCTCATACCCTCGGTTTTCTGTAACTTTCATAATATTCTCTGAATATCGGCAAAACGAGTCTCATTTGCATTTGATGTTGTCGGGCCATAGCATATAATCCCTGGAGGGGTGTTTTTGTGCACGGTTTGTGTTATATCTCGCCTTTATAGTACAGTCTATTGAATCTTGTATTCATAACATTGTTAATGTGCTGAAGAAGGCATACATAATTATTATACCATACAATTTCGTTTTAGCTGAACAGTTTGATCTCCAAACTCTTGTATTGTGTAATTATGAACACTGCATGCATAATGCGTAGAGTGTCTAGACAGTAGCTAGAATTCACCCATTGTGTGAAATGGTCCAGTCTATTTGACTTGTTACTCATTGAATGTGTGTGTTGTTTACGCAAGGTCAGGGCCCCACGCTGTACAGCTTCACAGAGGGTCCGTGGTTTATTGCACAAATTCAAGGCAAAGTTGTTCATATGTGGAATTTTCCCTTGAATAATGCCGCAATTTTGCTCATGAATATTGACATTTGCAACGAGCACAAATAAGAAAAGACTCAAAAGTCTCTAACAATGGTAATAAAAAGATAAAGAGAAATTTAACTCAAAGGCGCATTTGCAAGGATTGCATAACGAAATTTCGACAATTATACTCGTCAAAATCAAACCTCTGTCGGCAATATATTCCGCCATGAACAGCGCAACCAGGTGTCATATTGGTGGCCAGTCCGATCCTGTCCAAATTTATTTTGCTGTTATACCAACAGCCATGCATATCCAGGGCCAAGGACGCCAATGTCCTCAAATTTCTTCCATTACTTCTTGAATACAGCCCAGTGTCAACATTTTCTGCTTGAGCACATCACGCGCGCTTTTAATGTTGTTTCGTTGGGCGTGAAGCTGTTTACCAATAATGTTGTAAAAAATGAATACAAACTGAGCTATCCAGCCCTCTGTTGGCGGGTCCTCATTGTGTCAATGTCTTGTTCAAGGAGCGCCAAGTATGGAAACGGCTGGAAATACGCATAATTTTAAGCCCGGTTCATACTCGGCGCGAATTTGTGACGTCATGGCAAGCGGAGGCTACGAATTTGTAAAAGTTGAACATATTTCAACTCTGGCGAATTTCGTTTGCGAATGTTTCATGACGTCAAATTTGCTTCGCATTCGCATGAAGTATGAACCGGGCCTAATCAGTAATCCACGGAAAACTTCATAGATTTAATGGACATTATTCTGGCTCTGTTCCTATAGTAATTCACATCCCGTGATGGCTTTAATCATGCAAAAGCAACCCCGACACAATTGCATGGTTTCTGGTGTCTCGTATCTGGAAATTCCCGGTTTACGTGACGAGCGGGAACACACACACAAAAGTGCAGAGGTCATTATTGACTTTGCAGTTAGCATATCTTTCACGTGCGTTTGTGGAGCCAGAATGAAATAAAACAAAATGTAATGATTGACGGCAAGCAATGTTAGATAACCGCACCTATTTTTAGCAATCTTGTTATTTCCCGGATTATTCCGCCCCCAGCTTCCTTTGAAAAGAGCGCGCCGCTTAGGATCACTAGAAGTTTCCACCTAGACATCCTGCGTGGATGTATGCAGTTCTGTCAAAGGGAGCGTAAACACTCAGCTACGAGAACCTTCTTTCTGACGAGTTTTCAAACTGAAAGAAAATATTCTTTCATCTGCTTTATATAGGTTTTGCCTTTTGTCAATTTGTTTTGGAAGTTATCATTCTTATCTGGTTTCTTATGGAAAAATATATATTTTGAGGATAATTTGGAAACTGCTAGCTAGTATCGTTCTGATACGGATTTTGACATTTCTCGCAAAGCGAATTTTGTGATATAATATGTTTTATGATATATGTTTCTAGAAATAAGCTGAGCTTCTTGTGTAATGTCTCAACAATTCAGCATTTAACGCTCGAACAAAAATGGCCAAACTAGCCAAATGCGAATCGGAAGATTCTGTGTTGTCTGAAAATTAACTCGTAAGTAACATCGAAGATAAAATGTGTTAGAAAGTAAAATAACCATTAAATGTGCGCTGACTATAATATACTGGAGCACTGACGTAATTCCCGATTGATGCGTGGTCTAATTTTGCAACGTTGTGATGAAAATCATCAGAGTCATTGATTGCAGCACCCGCTTCGGTATTCAAACCATTACATGCATGTGTCTGTGCGTGTGTATACACCCGGCAATTATCGTGGACCCGGGACAAAAAGGTTAGGGCATAAACAGGGCATAAACAAAGGGTCCACGATTGACCAAACGTCCACGATTGAAATTCGTGTATAAATCATTGAGAGCAGTTGATACAAAGTTTGAGTACAACCAAAGCAATGAGGATTAGGGACAATCTGGGGTCCACGATTGCCGGTTCTTATTAAGGCCCAGTCACACATTCGCGGTTGGAACTACGAATATCCACGGTTTACCAAGAATCAATCGATCACGATGAACCGTCAAGGTTCGTGGAGACATCTACTTCCTAAAAATGCACTACGGTTTCAGGACGGATAGTTACTAATGGTCATACGGTTTCTCTACGAATACCCCACGGTTTGTTAAGAAAATAGACGGATTGGTGAAGAATATCGACGGTATATTTAAGAATAATGACGTTAACACCACGGTTGTCTGCGATTGGGTCACGGATGACCAAGGTTCTCCTACGAATAAAACGTGGATATTCGGTACAACCTTCAAGTTAGCAGAACCCTAGCACATCCGGGCATATCCATAGGACATTCGTAGCGAATTCGTAGAGATTTCTACCACGAAAGCCGGCTATGAATCCCCAAGAATATGCACGAATAGCCACGAATAAAACTACGAATAAGTACGGTTGTCCTACGGATGTCCCAAGGTTGCACTACGGATTAATTTTCATTGCGGTTCACCACAGAAGTTATGCTAGGGTCACACATTCCTGAAATTTGGCTACGATAACCCCGATCTATCCCGACAAAAAATTCTTGATGGCATCGGGAGAAATTAGCCCCGATTCACTTTTTGTAAGAATAACTTAATAATGAAACATAAATAATCCAGAACACGGTCCGAATGAAAAGCTGAATCAGATCAAACCAAGCCGAAGGATTGCGATTTAGTGCAGAACAAAACCGAATTGTAGCGAGAAACAAATACGAATAACTCAAGAATCAAGTCCAAAATGACCAAGAATTATTTAGTGTATTCGTAAGTTATTCGTACAATATTCGTACATTTCTTGATACATTCGCATTCATTCGGCATGATTCTTGGCTGTTATAACACCAAAAACAATTCTACGAAACGTGTAAGAATGCTGTAAGAATATCCAGAATACTGTTAGAATAAACAGAATACAGTTACGAATACACTCTAAAAAAACAATAGGCAATATTGGGTAAAATCGTACTCTTTATGGCAGTAAGAAGGGAACATGGTCGTTATGGGGGTAAACTTGACTAGCTTCTGTTGTGTCGAATTTTACTCCTGCACTGTGTAACCATTTTACGCAGAAAAACCGTTAACTTTTACTCCAAAAAAAAACATGTTTAAAAAAGTACCCCCAAAAGGAGTTATATTTTCGTTTACCCAACATGTTGATTAAGTCTTGCCCACTCCATGTCGAGTAAAACTTTAAACGTATGTTGTGTTACATTGTACTCAAATGTTTCTCAAAATATGCAAAACAATAGTTTTCCCCCTTATTGTTTATGGGTTTTTTTCGGTGCTATTTCTAATTTTGCTCAGGGACAAAAATAGACTTTGACGTCGTGGGGATTGGCAGAACTCGTACCCATTTCTGAAGGAAAGTTCGAGAGTTTTAGCTCACGACATGCAGCCTTCTATGGTAAACGTGTGATCACCATGTATTTTTCATGCTAATTACCCATGTGTTCATGTTCATTGCTTATAGTCCATGCTCTTGTCCATGGTCTCACAGAGTCAGTCTGTCGGTACTGTGCATATGCAACACAGGCAAGGGCGGATCCAGGGGGGGGGGGCAAAGGGGGCCATGCCTCTCCCCCCCCAAAAAAAAAAAACGAACCAATTTTTTTTTTTATGTAACATCGCAATAAAGGCAGGCAATGAGTACACCACCATCTTTTCCTCAAAAAAATTGGTTAAAGTGGTCAGAAATTGCCTCAGATCGCACCACAGAGCATCTAGAATCCAAAAAAATTTCGGGGCCCTTAAGGGGGCCCAGAACCCCACGCCGTAATTTTATTGACCCACTTTTTTGGGGGACAATTTTTTTTTTGGCCCCCCAAAAAAATTGTGTTCTAGATCCGCCCTTGAACAAAGGTACCGAAGGCATCCAACACGTACAGCGAAACCGTTGTGTTGTGGAGTCGCGCTGTGATCCTTCCGTTTGCAAAGACTATAGGCAGTTTATTGCCCTATAGATTTTTTTGCACACACAATTTGATTGATGAATGGTTACAGCGCGACTCACAACACAACGGTTTGGATGTACGTGTACGTGTTGGATGCCTTCGGTACCTGTGTTACATACATAATGCACACACACAGTACACAGACTCTGTGAGAGCATGGACTTAAGAGAAAAATGAAAACCGTAATTAGCATGACAAATATGATGATCGCACGTTTACCACACCAAAATAGTCTACGATGTGTAGATGGCTGAATGTCGTCAGCTAAAACTATCGTAGTTCAAACTTTCCGCGTGTGGTTTTATACAAGTATAGCACCCTATACCGTTCGAAGTCTATGCCTTCATAAAAGCCATTGAATTTAGCCAGTGTCACATTCAAGTAAAGCCGGGTGCCCAATTAAAAGAGGTAATGGAGACACCATTGTGGCACTGCCATTCATGACAACCTCTTTGTCTGGTGCCGCCTTGGCTGGCTACCCAATTTCTTTTGTCAGCCCTTACGAAAATAACCTGTTGGTATTACCACAACAAAATACCACAGGACATTACCACATGAAAGTTCTTGTGTGTTTTTTTGGACATTTACCACAGCACTGTTCCTGTTGCGGTAACATTGCTGTGGTACCATTCCGGTGGTAACATTCCTGTGGTAACATTCCTGTGGTACCATTCCTGTGGCACCATTCTTGTGGTAACATGTTCCTGTGGTACCGTATTCCTGTGGTACTTGTGTGTGGTACGTTCCTGTGGTAATGTTCCTGTGGTAATGTTCCTGCGGTACATTTGTTATTATTCCTGTGGTAAATGTTCCTGTGGTACGGTGTGTACGTTATTATTGTTCCTGTGGTAAATTTCCTGTGGTAAATGTTCCTGTGGTAAAGTGACCATGGTATAATGTTTTGTGGCAATGTTGCCGGGGGTAATGTTCCTTTGTTAGTTCCTGCGGTACCTGTTCCTGCAGCACCTGTTCCTGCAGCTGTTGTAATGTATATTTGATAATGTTCCTGCGGTATTAATGTTCCTGTGGTAATCGCTGGATGGGATTCCACTGTTTCCAAGTGAACGGGATCCTTGAGGTAGAATATCCATGGTTTCTTCTTCACATGTACCAACATCATTGGTGGAAATTAAGTCGGGAAAGCTGAAAAAGAAAAGAAACAAACTTGTAAATGTAAGTTTGTATAAATCAATATGGTGTTCAACAAAAAAAAACATGAGCAGATGCAGTTTCCCTTTTAAGTTGTGTTTTAGTTGCAGTCAAACTCGAAAACATTTTGTACATTTCTGTGATATACGTTTCATATTAAAAAAAAAAAAAATAACATTGGTAATAACACCAAAGAGTGCATGCGACAACCAATCACTTACGTATGGAATATTTGCGGTAACATCCTGTGAATTGATTATTAAGTTGTGTGTAATTTACGAATGCAGAAGGTAAACCAGGAGAGTAATTTGCCATAGTCATGAGCAGATGGTGTTACTGAAATTCGTCCATACTTGATAAATAAAGTAATGAGTTTGCATTTAACTTTACATTGTTTAAATCTTAATGTCTGATGTCATTTCATGAACAATATCTTCTTACCCCTTTTAAATTCCCAGTCAAATCACTTGAAGACAAAGTTTTCCAATTTGACATAAAGGGCACAAACAGTTCATACTTTTGATAACAGATCTGGTAATAATGATGGCGCTGAACAAATACAGCATTGTCATGTAAAACGGATTTTTCCCATGTTGAATATGCGTGCATGTACGTATAGTAATAATGCAAACTTGCCTGAATATTATATAATGCAGATTGTAGAGTTTTCATGGTTTTGCGACCCCACTTGATTCTACGAGGTTGTGTTGGGAATTCCTAACTGATCCACGTATATGTCTTTGAAACAAATTCCTGTACATTGGAACTAGCTAGAGACATCATAATTCAGACTTACCGGTACATAGAGTACTGTTTTACAGACGTACTGCAAGATCCATTCAGCATGACTCGATCCACTCTGTCCAGTATTCATCATCCAGAAAACTTAACATGCCTCCCTACTATAGTATGTTCAAGCTCACAGTAACACAGTATATAATACTGGCAGTTGATCTTTGCTTACAGGCAGAAGTGAGGCACTTATTTCATACAAATATTCACTGTTTTGTATTCTGCCATGTACCTGTGCTGCTGCGTGTAGTTGTACATAGTGCTGTGATTCAAACTGTACTGGTTTTCAAACTTTCCACACACTCAGTGGGGGAGCTGTGTGGGTGACCTTGCGTGTGCAGAACGTGACCCCTGCATGGTTAATATACACTGTGTGTATGGAATCACACATGGGTCATATATGGGTCAGACGCTGCACAGGGCATAATATAAGGTCACACATGTGGTTGGGAACAGGATACGGTGTACCCTGCAATATGTATATGTATGTATGCATGGGCTTTATGTACATGTACTGTGTCAGTACATATTGGGGCAATATTTGTACCTGTCAGTGTGTTCTTATTTGTGTTTTAGTTATAAGTACATTGTATATTGGATGGTAATATCTTTTCCTTTGGTAATCTATGTGGTGTAGCATAACTGTCATATTTTTGGAAGTTTGCACATATGTAAATATACAGATATGGGTAAAGTGACAAATAAAAAAATGTCAAATGTACGTGCACGATCCTCCAATTGCATTGCCCCGGTGGTAATTTGTTTGATATATTAGCACTGTATAATACCACATGATATTGTTGCGTTCCCGCAAATTGCGTAGTTTACTTCTTTCCCAACCAATCCATTCCACTCCATGCACAGCGTAATGCTTGCAGCGATCCTGTGTGCCCTCACACAGCGCGAAGCTTTACCGCGAAGTCTTCGACACACGCACAAGTGTGTAGCACGTTGTACAGTACGCTATTGTATAGCGCAATGCATGTAGCACTCACAGCTATTGAACATGTACCGCCATGGGACATGTACTTAAGACAGCCATTTTCCCTCCACCTTTCCCCGGAGTCGATGCGAATTCCCCTCACACACCTTACCTCGCATCCGACCCACATTGACCCCAAGCATTTAGCGAATGTGGCTCGCTAAAACCTACCCGTGTATTCACCCCTTAGTGACCCCGTACACCCCAGCGATGTGTCCCGCTAACCCACTGGCCGAGACCTACGGTAGCTAGAGGTCAGGTTACGTCCTTCATCTCATAGTTTTACTCCATAGCATTAGTGTGTAGATTCTTATCTAGTCTAGAGACTAAGTCTTGTACACAAGCCTATGTACCGAGAAAGTTATTCCCTTTCCCTTTTCCTTGAGAATCAGTTCCCCGTAAGGCACCCACGAGTGATCCTACTTCGCCCGCTAACCACCGCTCTCGGACTTTCTTCCAGTAGATTGTCTAAGTCAGTCGTGTACAAATCTCCCATAGAGACTTTCCCCATGCCTTTGTACACGGATGCATTATTCATAACTACCAGAATCCAATGCTCCCATTGGCTAAGACGCGCACCCAAAAGTTTATATAAAGCGCGCAGAAATGGCACTTCTGGTCATTGTTGTACTGGGCTCTTCCCCAGTAGATTATTGAGCTGAGCTCCGACCTACACAGAGCTCCCGCATATGATGCATTAGATTGTTGATCTGGGCTCTGACCCCGACAGAGTTCCTGACATGTACACGTAGATTATCGAGCTGGCCGCTCACTGGCCATAGACCCATGTCTGTACACAGATAATCATGTACGCCCAAACTTTACATTGTATATAGTGCGCCCTCTATTGAGCTGAGATGTAAATAATCCCGAATAAAGTACTAGTGTGTGTGTAAGATATTTGTATCTGACTCTTTATTTGATAATGTCTCTCACCCAAGAGAGACGTTACAATATAGTAAATACCACATACATTAGGCGAAGAAAAAAAAAAAAACATGTTTGTCGTCCCCGCCCGCTTCCTTTTTGGAGGCCGCCTGGATTTTATTCAATTATTATAATTTTGTTATATTTGAAAAATGCAGTAAAAAACACCGAAAAAGTCCACAAATTCATTGGAAAATAAATACCAATACAACTCTAAATGACACTATAAATATGTTCAGTTCTCTTGTCTTTCATTTCAAAAGTGTCTTTGAACAGTGGAAACACCAACGGTTGCAGGAAATTTTAAAATGGCGGCCATCTTGAAAAAAAAAATGAAAAATAAAAAATAAAAGGCCCCTAGCTCTTCCGCTTTTTTTTCAAAAACCCGGACAAGAAACATGTTTTTTTTTTATTCGGCCTTATATTGAACGACTTTCACTGTCCTGTGGTAATTCGTGTGAGGTGTCGCAGTACAACAGCACTACCACGGTAAGATGCAATTATAACACACATTTGTCAGAACCTCATGTCCTCATTTTCGTGTGTGTGGTATTTAGCATGGTACAACAGAAGTACCACAGGATATCGAAGGTACCACACACATTTATGTGGTACTTTCCTCTAATTCCACTGACCTGTGGTAGTATTTGTGTGGTATTTAGTAAGTACAACAGAAGTACCACAGGATATCGAAGGTACCACACACATTGACTCTTCTTTATAAATCCTACAGTTCTGTGGTACTTTGTGTGGTAACTTCATGCACCACAAGAATACCACGTACAGGACTGGGATATCCACTGTTGGTATTACCACATAAAAGTGTGTGGTACTCTGGTGATATGTACTTTTCCTGTGTTAATTTCTGTGGTAAACATATCGTCACCGACACCACGAACTGACACCCGGTGGTCAGCGTTGCAGAAATACAAATCGGAGAAAAACGCTTTTAAAGGTTTGACACGAATTTACTCGGTAAAATATTCCATCTATCTTAATGGTTTTAGTATCGCTTAACGTAAAAATACTTAAATTACTCAATTATAAACGTTATATTGTAAAACTCTGCTTAGTTAATTAGAAATTAAATGATTAAGATGGGTGTCAGTTCGTGAAAACGAAAATGTATGTGTTTTTGGAGAGTGCACGCATGCAATAGCGTTAGTGAGTGTCAGTTCGTGAAAACCAAAATTTACGCGTTTTGGGATAGTGCGCGCACACACTGCGCATGCGGGGCTGAGGAGGTCTGCATGGACACAGTCCAAAAGGTGAAGAAGAGGGTGAAAGCCCTATCGGAACTTTGTGTCGTCAGAGCAAGGGAGCAGATGGAAGTGGCTTACAGATCTCTTGTAGCAGAATTCAGCCTCACCAATAGAGTGGTGTACTCAAACAAGAAGAAAGTCCTATTCGAAACCTATGATCTCATCGACGAGGAGGTGCTTACTCAGAAAATCTATGAGGTGGAAAAAGCTTAGGTCAACCAAATGCATGCGATGAGCTGGAAGCTGATTAACAAGATTACTGGTAAAAAGTATTCCAAGCTCTCTCAGATCAAGGGAGATATCGGTGAGCAACTGGATGAGGCATGGTACAACCACTTCAACAACCTTCTTGGTGATGAACCAGAGATGCTGGATGAACAGGCGGAGGTGGATAGTGTTTAAGGACCTGGACATCGAGGATTGTCCCAATTCAAGGGTGAGGAGTATGTTGAAACAAGGGGGGGGGGGCGCTTAAGGGTTGAAAGTGCTGTGGGGAAGATTGTGTCGTCCCAGAACTACAGTGTGTCCCCATTGACGACCTCGTACTCGACGTTGTCAAAAATGCAAATTGAGAAAGGGGAAATACAGATCAGTGGAGCATTAGTAATATCATCCCAGTCGGCAAAACATTTAACCGTATAGTACTCAACAACTGGATTCGGCCAGTGCTAGATCCACTTCTTAAAGCACAGAATGGGTTCAGGCAAGAGAGGTCCAGTGTGGGGCTTATCATTGAGTTGATGAGAATTATTGAAGGTGTCAAACGTAAACATATTCCTGCAGTCATCACCTTCATTGATTTCCGCAAGGTGTTTGACACTATCCACCGGGTCAAGATGATGAACATCGTCATCACATACAAGATCTCCAGTATATATAAATAAGTGCAAATCATTGGGGCGACCTACGTAACATCCCGAGCAAGGGTCACTTCAACAGATGGTGTCTTTGAAAGATCTTTGACATCCTGACAGGAGTGCTTCAGGGTGACATATTGACCCCTTTGCTCTTCATCATTGTATTCGACTATGCCTACGCCCTGAAGAAGGCCATCAACGGTAGAGAAGAGAAGCTGGGTTTCACCATAGTGCCCCTCAAAAGCCAGGTGATCGAGTGTCTCTTGTGATGATCACTGACATGGACTTTACGGATGACATCACACTGCACTGGTCTCAAATACATAGGAGCACGCTCGAGTCTTTTTTTATTTTTATTTTTTTTAAAGAAGACCTAGGTTCTCACCTATAACATATTTGACACAGCTGTCTGCACGAGATGGTACAACTCTCAAGATTGAAGCTGACCTACAAGTACCTTGGATTTTGAACAGCCCCAGTGAGAAAGACCTCAAGACCTGAAGAGGACAGGCTTGGTCAGTGCTCCACAGAATGGAGAAAGTGTGGTCATCGGCACTCAGAGATCAAAATAAGGTCACTGCTTGTGTCAACGGTAGAGGCAGATAGAAGTGTCTGGATGGGTATTACACCAGAATACTGCGTATGGCCCTGAACATCAGGTTGCAGGATCACATGAGGAATGTAGAGCTCTACGCTGGCTTGCCGAAGGTGACGAAAAGGATTAGGGAATGCTGTCTCAAGCTTGCAGGACATGACGCCCGTCACCTGCAGTTGGCCGCGAGCCCAATCATTCTCTCGGAGCCCACTCACATGGGGCACTGCCTCACCTGGGAAAAGAAGTCTATCCTTTGTTGACATGCTGGAATTGACTGGCACATGGGGCACTGCCTCACCTGGGAAAAGAAGTCTATCCTTTGTTGACATGCTGGAATTGACTTTGCCACCGCTGAGGAGGTGCGCTTCAGAATGCCGGACTGGACCAAGATCATTGGGCGGGCTCGAGCTGCCATATAGCCTCGTCCGCCTCGACTTGATTGATTCATGTCAGCTTCCCCCTGACAGAGCCATAATTATGCTGGTATACAGAAGAGTTCTGATTTTTCTACTCTATCCAAATTCTCACACATGAATGAAGAACTGGAATATAAGACGCTTTAATCAAATAAATCTGGACGTTTTTGCAATTATTCTGATTGGTAAAGAAAGTTGTCATTCAAATGTTTTACAAAATGTCCTTACAATGTGTGTAGCTTTCAGTGTACGCATTCCCATTAAGAGTATTACTTCTCAAACAAGCAGCTATACAGTGCAGTTCAGGGGACTGCGG